AATCTATGACATAGATTTCATGTTGAAAGTAACTTTTTGGGGGGCCAAACTTTTTTTTATTTGCACGCTCGTATCAGTTTTGGGGTTTGCAGAGGATGTCATCCATATAATCAAATCAACATGGCCTAGCCGTGGGTAGTATGACTTAGCAGTCCTTTGTAAGATCTCATAAGAGCTTCGTCATTCCCTACAAACCAATACCTGTAGGCTGAACTCACCTGTTGCAGTTTGATACCTCTCTCCTGGTCATGTTGATCTTTGGACAGCTGGTCAACATGAACTTTCACCTTTGACCCTAAGTGGATCATACCATCCAGTGTGAGGAGGGAAAGGGTCCACTTTTAACTTTGTTTAATAGAGACTTCAAAAATTCTGATGACACTAGAAGGTATATGCCAATTTTTATCCCAACTTGGTCAAGTCAAACACATCCATATGTTCATTGTAGCACCTTTGAGACTGATATGCACACGTCCTTTTCAAGCAACAAATCATTTTATCATTTCTCTGACTCTGAGAAGTATTTTCAGTTCTTGTCAATTTCTTGTTTTCACTCATCATACAATTATCGTGAATCTCTTTCTGATCCAGTCTTTGTATTTTTCCACTAGCGCTATAATAAAAGCAGTAGACTCAGAAAATGAGATAACCTTTTTCGGGACCTTTGACCTAACTTCCTATCAGTGTTCCAGATTGCCTTTAGTAGCATGTGGAATTGACTCCAGAAACACAGGCAAACACATGAACAGACATATCAAAAACAATGTACATGGAGGTAACAACTGTAGTAAAATCAAAACTACAACTAGAGAAGTAACATTTGCAAAGCAAATGCATAATGTTTACCTTCGGACATTGTCTGCTCTGTTAATTCTTACTCAAACACATTCAAATACATGTACTACTAGTATATGGTGACAGGAGCAGAGCAGACCATGAAATTGCAACATTATGTAACCCAACACCAGTCACCATAGTGACAGACGTCAACAAAATTAATCATGTCATTGGTCAGGTCAGCGGTTACTTTTTGGAGAAGAAGAAGAAGAAGAGGAAGAAACTGAGCAAAAACACTATGTTTTCCTTCAGTAAACATAATAAGTCAAACAACACACATCATATTGCCATTATGATTTATTCTTCCAGCTGTACAGCAATTGAACATATTTCTACCTCATAGTAAACTCTCCATATTTCCTGCTGTACACTTCATTATACAGAAAATTTGGTGTTCATAACCGCAACATCCTAATGTCCAGGCATTTAATAATAAAAAAATCCATTTAGTGAGACAGTAAAAAACACGACAGGTGTGGTAACTTGTACAAAAGAAAATGTTTACAGTGGCAAGAAAGAACTAAACATCAATGTTATAAGAACAACGGCCTAAACAACTATTTCTAAACAGTTACAAAAAAGTAAAGAGTAAAGATTGAAGAAAAAAAAGTAACAAGTAACGTACATACTACTAATTCAAAGTCACGGCTAGACTTACTACACTTTCTTTGTTAGAGAAATTCCAAGATAGAAACACAAGAAGCTCGAAGCTGTACAACTTGTGTATGAAAATCAAATCTTTAGAAAACCAACTTTATCGCATTATCTTAAATCTAACAATTGCTCAGACTCAACTTTGGTGGTCAAAGTGTAACAAGAAAATTCTCCACAATTATCAAGTTTCAAAAGGAAGGTCTGGAACTGTTGAAAACAACATGCTGGACAATAATACAAGCTGACCATCCAATTAAAAATGTGGGTAACAGCTAATACAGTATTTTTGTCGATGTATTTTCAAGTTCAAAAAGTGGTGAGGCTATACAGAGTCCCTCAGCCATACTGTATACAATTTCTAAATCAGAAGAGGTCACAATGCATGACTCTCTTGTGGTTTGTTTGACTAATATAACAATAAGAAAGCTCATCTACCCAAATCTACACTGAGACGCATCTGTACACATTTTCTCCCCGAAAATTAGAGCCATACGCCTACCAAGCTACCTCGTACCCCATAAATATGATCTTCTTCATCCATTTCTCAAAGTCTTTTGATGCAACATTTAATACAAACACCATTTTGATGGTCAAGCCTTTTCTTCAACACAGCCCAGGAAATATGTTCATCTACATCTAGATAGACACTTCGAGGCTACCCCCCTCCCCCAAAATTACACTTTCTGTGGTATGGCACCACTAGACTCTCTTAAATACTTGACGCAGCACATCGGCAGAACATAGTGTGTCTGTATAAAACCGATTTTTCATGGATTTTGTTGGATGGTCAACGTTCCTTCAGAATTTTGCCTGTTGCAGACGATATCATCTCTGATACAGCATTTGAAAACTACAGACGGGATGTTATCCTTAAACATGCGAAAATGACCTTAAACGAGACATTCTTCTGAAACAAAATACATTTATAGGTTTCGCACAGGGGCAGTACATTCTGCCGACATGCTACTTGACACTTTCTTTACATAGCAAGCAAGGGCAAAGAATCCTGTTCAGGGATTAAGGTTGTTTTGCGTTGAATACCCAAATCTTTGGATTCTAAAATATATATCGACTGTCCTTATAGCCTAGCACTAATATTCTAAGGAATTAACAAATGTAGAAAATGTAATACATCCAAATACAGCAAACAGTCAGATAGAGTGTCTACATTTTCATGTACATAGAACCCTTCAGGGGACTGGATAGAACCTAGCAGACTATTGCGCTGGCTAGAGATTCAGCTGTCTGGCCATGCATATGCATGTGCGATGTCAACATTGAGAATTGCCATCTTGCAATCTAATACATTGTAAGGGCATCAACACTTGTTTCCCTTACAGTCACTGTACATTAATCTTATTTCAGTGCAATGCAAGCATTAAGCACTTCATATTGCAAAATGAAGATATTGCAATGATTCCCCTTCATTTTATTTTCATTGGCATGGTAGTCAAAGTATGTCAAACTGGTAGCTATTCTGCTACAATGACTGCTACGTACACATGCAATTTCGGGGCGGCAAAAACAATATATTTTCGATGAGGAAATCTGTCTGATATTGACATTTACTGTCATTTCTTAGCACATTTTTTGGCATCATTTCATACTTCAAACAATTGAAATAGCCCCAAAACAAGCATCTTTTTATTTTTGAGTACCACCCATAAATAGCTTGCACCAGCCAATATGAAATACGCAACCGTTTTCCATCAGCGACATCATATTTTTGCCTCACAGATTACAGGATAGGGTTGATTCAACTTATTATAATATTAAAAGTAGGACCAGAAAATTGGCATTGAAAATACAGTTTTGCCACCCTGAAATTGCACTGTGTGCCTTTAACTGCTTTTCACCGTGGTAGACACCACTATACTGAAGGCAGGGGAAACATTGCGACAAGCGAACGCTATGCCTTTTTACAGCTATCCTTGCACATAACTTCATCTCATCTCAAAATATAATAATATACTCTATGGAATGCCTAAGTACACACTTTCTCTCCATATTCTTCCTTTTTTCACATTTTACAACCATTACCAAACACAAGGGCTTCTTCTTTATATCTTTTTTTTTGACAGACTTTCAACATTCCGACATTAATTTGCATACTGCTAATTTATTTAAAGACTTGAACAGTTGCAACCAATAGGAACCTATTCCCCAAGCCTGAACCATATCTCAGTGAGTATGCTAATCAGGTAGGTGTGGTTTGTGGTCCTGCCACTTCTATGTCCCCAAGAAGGTTGGACAGAACCTAGCAGACTATTCGCTCTGGCTGGAGATTCGGTTGTCTGCGTGCATGCGGTGGCGTGCACAGATTGCGGTTCCCTCAGAATAAACGGCTCCTGCCTCCGCGGTTTATCGTTTCAGCGCGTTGACAGGAGGACGGGACTCATCAAACTCCCCCCCGCTGTGGTGGTGGGCTGCCCCAGGGTGGGGGTGGGGCCGTTCTGAGACAGGACGTTGACTAGGGCAGGGATGCAGTTGCTTGGAATTAGGGTCCCTGTTTGGAGAAGAAAAAGGGGTTTGATTTAACAAACAATTCTACACAGAAGTATAAATATACAAAGCTTAATGTATAAACAGAATACATCTATCTATATATCATTTTTGGTAACACCCCAGGGACCAGCCTTGTAGTGTAGTATCTAAACTGTCTACAACAACTCTAGGAATTGTACAGGAATTGTAATGTCTACAAGTCCTGGAATGTGTTGTCAATTTCTCTCGTAGGGATTGACAAAATGCATTGGTGAGTAGACAACTTAAATGATGATTTAAATGATGTACATTATGCAAATTTTATACAAATGAGGATCTAATTTGCATAATTACCAATGTGATAAATCAAACATAAAAACAATCTACCAAGTAAACAAGTTAGAAGAAATCAAAACAAATGCACCTGGTTCAGCACAACATAAAATGTATTTAATGTAAATACTATAATCATATTGTCAGAGGATTGTCAATTATTCTGTGACTTCTTTCATACAATGATGAAGATGAACTCACCTACAACCTTCTTGCCCTGTTGAGTCTTAATTCTGACAACCTGCATCTTAGACTGGCTGCCTGGCATGGACACCAGAACACTTTCCACTTTACTCCACACCTGAAAAACAGGGTGCAGAAGTTCACTTCAAAATCCTATTGGTAGCAACCTTGAACCTTGGTAGCAAAACAACGTGGAATTTCAGATTTGAGCTCTGAAGAGAGGCAATAGCTTTGCAACATTTCACTTTTTATCATGCACAATGTCTTCTTAACTTTAATTTGTGTGCCTGAATTTTGCACCTAATCTCGAAAGTGTATTTCGAGCCCTGTGTAAGTCAATACACCAGAGTTGCCAATTCTTGGAACCTTGAAATCAAGTATAGGATTACATTTGTACAGTCATGAATAGATAGATAAAGAATCCATAACATACTGTGCAGCATTGACAGTAACTCTGCTCCTACCTGAAGTACAGACCCAGAAAGGACATGGTAGGTTCTCCGCCGCAGCCCGATTTCACAAGATAGATTCAAAGACACTCGCTTGCAGTTTCCCCTCCTGAAAAAAATTAATATTCAACCCTAGGTCAATACTTTCAACCTTTCTACATAAACTACAGTAATATCATTGGCTACTTTTTTCTTTGTCTAAGCAATTTCTATTGGCTGTCAAGAAGAATACAACAGCAACAGGCAATTTACTTTTCAACATTTGCTATATCCATTGATATCATTGGCTGCTCTGTCTAGTAAACCATTCTGATTGGTTGATTAGTTAATTGATTGATTGATTGATTGATTGATTGATTGATTGATTAGTACTTACCAGTAGGCATGACTACACTGTGCCAGGGAGGAGTTGTACTGAGACACCCAGTGTGGCTCCGCTTCATCTGGGGTCACCTAAGGACACATTTTAAAAACAACTGTTTTACCTACATGTATAGCTTAAGACTTTGAAGGGCTCTGATATAATTTGGAACACACACAACATTACTCGAAATAATACTAAAAACGAAGATAATACATATTCTGGAAAAAGACTATTTCCAGACATTTCTAAGTAAATCTTGAAAAATCATGGCTCAAAACTTGTACATTAGCCTTTTCCCTGCTGTCTAATCTTGTAACCAATACAAATTTGGTTAATTCAGCAGGGAGAAGGTTAAACAAATACCCAGTACGTCACTCTGAATAACTTTTTAGAATTGGTTACAGGGCTCGAACCTAATGGTGTCCCAATGGCCACTGACCACTAAACTTTTGGCCTGGACAACTAAAAAGACACTCTGGGACATTTTTGGGACAATAGAAAAATAATCAACATCATCAGAATGTCAGTTCATCAGGCATACTTCCTGGCTTTTGGCTCTGGAAAAGCCCCCCTTCCCCCCCAAAAAAAATCCTGTCTACTCTGCAATTATAGTGCACCTGGGAGTCAGCACGTAAGCAAAATAAAGTTGAAGTCATACAATACTTCCCGAAAAACAGGTTGGGTCAGGACAATTGAAATTTACTTTTGGGACAGTGCTGGGACAATAAGAATAAAAGTTAATTTCGAGGCCTGTGGTTAAATTCAAAACTTATACATTGAATATTTACTGTCGTACCTTCTTGTACTTTTTCTTGATGTTCTCCAGTGGTTCGTTCTTCATCTGTTGTCCGGTGTTTGGCCTGTGTACGCTGTACAACTTCCTCCTGCCGGACACAGCCTTCACCAGTACAGCCATGCACTTCATGTTCCGCACCTGAGCAGAGTGGCAAGGTCTTGTGGTTAGGCCATACCAATTTAATTTGTTGTTTCTACGATTTTTTTCAGAAAAAATATGAAGCGAAAGGGCAAAATAAAAATAAAAAAGAAACAGGCCAAGGCACCCCATGATAGCCAGAAATGTTACGATATGAGCCATGAAGTCAACATACCAGGCTGGTTTATAACTAAAACAATAGATTTTGAACTTTTAATGAAACAAAGTTGCATTGTTACATTGAAAAACTTTAAAAATTGGGAAGAAAAGGACTGTCCTTCAACCATTGTGGCCAAAATATGTCTTTCATTGTTGAGCCTTTGCAGTTGATTTAGAACCTAAAAAAATTTTTTTTTTTTGGAAATCAGAAAAAAAATGGACAGGGCAAATCTGAGAAACAACAAATTAAATTGATCCCAACAGGCTCCAATGTTATGCCCTTGTGAAAAGCACTTAACACCTATTACCTCACTAGACTGAGGTAAAATTGGGTACCTAGCTTTAGTTAGGGACGGCCTCTTGGAAGTAAAGCTGTGTTTGAGGCTAGCCACAGTTCAGGTACATTAAAGGCACTCAGTGCAGATTTTGGGGCTTGGAAACCCGATTTGTCAGAGCCAATATTCTAGTCGTGTACCTACATAGTGAGTTGAAACCTCACTGTCCCAATGTATATATCAACCTCATGGAGCAAAAATTCCCAAAATTCTGACGGAAAATGGTTACTGGAAGGGCCCTGGGCTGATTTTTAGGGTACCACCCATAAAATGAAGGACATGTCTTGGGACTTGTTTTTGCAGTTCTAAAAGCCCAAAGTATGAAATACTGACTGAAATGTTCTAATGTGAAGCAGTATGTGTCAATATCACAAAGACTGCCTTATTCAGAATATTTCTATTTTTTCTGCCCTGAAATCGCATTGGATGCCTTTAAAGAATCAGAAGCCAGTTATAGAAACCAAACAAAGGGCCTACAAGCTGAAGAGTTTTGCATGTACTGACCTGTTTGGAGAGGTAGAATCCTTCCTCATACTGCACAAGTTCCCTGTACATGTCTAACGCCTCCTTCCATGAGACTCCTCTCTCCACACTTATCTGTGGGAGAAAATACAGCACAGAAATGAGTTCTTCACCAAGACAGCAGTCGAAATCCTTTTTTCTGCATACTTGCACTGGTGCAGATAACATGATTGAAAACTAATTTTACCTACACCACTGAGAATTTAGGAAGCATGCAATATATTGTTCAGAAACCATTGCTTTTAAAGACCAAATGACACCTAATAAAGTCTGTAAAATACATACAAATATTGGAAGTTTATATTATACAATATAGTTACTTAATATTTGTTTCAATCATAATGACTGAGAAATTGAGCTTGTACAGCCTTCTTAAGGTGACTTTTTGGAGACTCTCTAGCAAGCTTTCCAATTGCCCACTTAGGACATCTCTATTTGCATCTCTGTGTTTTATTTTTGCACTTCTGTGCTTGGTGACATCAGCTTAGGAAAAATACAGACATGCAAAAATAAAATGTAGACATATAAATTGCCTGCAAGTACTGGCTTGGGCTGACTTTTCCAAGCATTGAAATTTTGAATGTAACAGGAAAACCATGCATATTTATTGTAAATGTGTCTGTTAGCCAGGTAATACATAATGTACTAGCTACATTACAATCAGCTTAAGAGCTTAAGTCATATTTTGGTGTCATGAGCACTTGAAAAAGGTTCTTACAGTGTGCAGTTCCACTAGAGCCTGCCGGGAGGTGCTGCTTCCCTTGAACCTCTTGGTCTCCAGAAGCCTGACATGATCTCCACCTGAGCCCAAGTCTGCACAAAGATGAAACAAAACACAACATTTACAACAAACCAGAGATTGCACACTTACAAGACCCTGCATGCATTTGACTTGGTTGACATGTATCAATTATTAAGTCAAATGGCTAACATTCACTTTTGTCTTGAATAAGTCCAGGGCTCGAAATTCCTTTTTGGGAATAGGTGCACTGGTGTACCCAACCTAAAAAATTGGGTGCACAAAAAATTTTTGGGGTGCACCATATAAAATAAAACCTAATTATCGATCTTATTGCTCCTCTTCTAAGCTTGAATCTGAAATGAGAGCTAAATTCAAAATCTTAAATATCACTACAACAAATATTTTATTATTTTTCTGATACTTAGAGACCGAGAATATCCGGTATACTATTTCTAATGTTAAAAATTCTTACAAAAATATTTGGGTGCACCAGTGCACCCACAGAAAAAAAAATAGGTGCACAACACAATTTTGGGTGCACTAAGGTGCACATGCACCCAGTATTTCGAGCCCTGAAGTCTTTTAAGAATTGTTGCTAAAAACAATTTTTTACATGCCAGCTGACAGAAGCAACAGAACGACCGCCCACCTAGGATGCCCATGTCGTATCTGCCGTCCCGCCGCGCCCTCTGGATGACCTCGTGTAGCGTGTCCAGGAAGTACGCAAACAGTCCGTTCTGAAGGTTCACCGTCAGACCCAGGATTCTGTTCAGGAACTTGGGCATGCTGTTGTAATCTGAAAGTCAGAGATCAACAGCATGTTAACTAAATACAATATTAGAAACACCACATTTGCAAACAACATCAGCATATTTCACTCCATCTCCCACCCCATGTAAAAAAAGGCTGGAACTAGAAACCTCACCTTTGTCTAAATTGGGAATGTTGAGTCTCTCATCCATACTGACTAGTCCTACTCCTATCAAGCCATGGAGGATATCTGAAACACAGAAAAACAATGTATCATCATGTACGTCATACAACTTTCACCCTGTACAAAGTGCTACACATGTAACTCTGTAAAAAATGCTATCCCTGTATGTACAATGTGCTATCCCTGTACAATGTGCTATTCCTGTACAAGGTGTTATCCCTGTACAATGTGCTATCCCTGTACAAGGTGTTATCCCTGTACAATGTGCTATCCCTGTACAAGGTGTTATCCCTGTACAATGTGCTATCCCTGTACAAAGTGTCATCTCTGTACAATGTGCTATCCCTGTACAAAGTGTTATCTCTGTACAATGTGCTATCCCTGTACAAAGTGTCATCTCTGTACAATGTGCTATCCCTGTACAAAGTGTTATCTCTGTACAATGTGCTATCCCTGTACAATGTGTTATCCCTGTACAAGGTGTTATCCCTGTACAATGTGCTATCCCTGTACAATGTGCTATCCCTGTACAATGTGCTATCCCAATACAATGTGCTATCCCTGTACAATGTGCTATCCCTGTACAATGTGCCATCCCTGTACAATGTGCTATCCCTGTACAATGTGCTATCCCTGTTCAATGTGTTATCCCTGTACAAAGTGTTATCTCAGTCTGTACAAGGTGTTATCCTTGTACAAAGTGTTATCCCTGTACAATATGCTATCCCTGTACAATATGCTATCTCTGTACAAGGTGTTATCTCTATAAAAAGTGCTGAAGTATGGAAGACTGACCATGAAAGAAGTTGCCTTGGTAGTCCTCGGGAGGAGGGGCGATGGGGGGTTCTAACCCAACAACAGCCTTCATCACTGCCTCCAGAGCTGTTCTACCATACTAAAGACAAAACACAAACTCAAGCATTAGGACAAAGATTTTTAAAAAAGACACACAATACACAAGTACTGTATAGAACGCATTAGTGACAAGAGAACCAACTTTTGTCACAGAGCAATTTTACATTAAAATTTGCAAAAAGTGGGGTTGTGTGGCATAGCGGCAGTGTGCTCGACTCGGAACCAACAGGTCCCGGGTTCAAGTCCTGACATGCCACTGATCTTGTGCCCTTGGGAAAGGCACTTAACACGACTTTCCTCTCTTAACTCAAGTAAAAATGAGTATTGTCTTGTCCTGTATTCATCCTCTGCGTTGGTGGCGGCATAAAATAAGTTGATATAACTTGAGTGTGCTGTCACCATGTCTAGTCATGAAACGTTGGAATATAAAAAAAAATTTGCAGATCTCAAGGGTACATGTATATGCAGGGTTTGGTAAGACTGAGGAGAATAGCTTACTTTTGTGTCAATGTTGAACCTACTGAGATCCCTCGCCTCTCCTGCTCTCCTGTCTCCATGGGTAAGGGCACCCTAAAAATAGAAACATGAAGAAAGTTGTCATCTCATTCAGAACAAGATCTTTCTAGGGTTGATTTTAATGTATATAATATAATGCTTGGAACAACTTTGCACTGTAAGGGCCGCATCAATTTAATTTGTTGGTTCTCTGCTCTTTTTCAGAAAAAAATATGAAGCAACAGGGTGAAAAAAATAAAAATAAAAACAGGTCCAGGCATCCTATTATAGCCCCAAATGCTACGAAAGGAGCCATGAAGTCAACACAAAGCGCTGGGTTAATATTTAAACAATGAATTCTGATTTTTTAATAAAACCACTGCATTCATAGAGGCAAAAACTGTAACAACTTGGAAGAAAAGAACTTTCCTCAACTGTTGGAGGCAAAATATGAGCATATTTGAGTTGATTCAGAACCAGAATTTTTTTTATTGCAAATCAGATTAAAATGAAGAGGCGAATCTGAGAACCAACAAATTAAGTTCGTGTGGCCTAAGGACAAAAAAGGTAAAACATATCAAGGAAAGAAACCAGCACGTTACTTCAAACTTAATTTGTTGACTGTTAATCCAAATAGCATACAACATACCAGACTCTCCAGTCTTTTGGCCACAATAGAGGCAAACCTCCTTTCTCCTGCTAGCTCCGAAATGAGGAAAATGTACTCTGGTGCATAAACCTGGTTAGAACGATGTGTGCGACCTGGAAAATCAATAAGCATCGTAGTTAGATGACAGTTCAGCCATTCAGCAAAAAGAGAACCTTTCAGTACAGGGCAATCTACCTTTGGAACAAATTACCGCTACAAATCAAAACACTGACCAGCACATCTAACTTTAAGAAAGCTATCTGTCAACTGTACATACAGTGTGACTTATGTGATTAGTTTATAGATTATATTACTTTATTTTTATACAGTGTAAATCTGTTTTTGTGTCATATGTGTGTGTTTTTACTATGTTATTTGTTGTATGTAATACAAGTATTTTTTTTTTGAATGAACCCTGGAAGATTAGCCTTTTGGCTAAAGGGTATCAGAATCAGAATAAATAAAGTTAGAAATGGAGTACATGTTTTTAGGCATAAAATTTCTTAACAAAGATGAAAAGAGACATGAATCTGGGGTGGGACTGACCGAACTGTTGGATGGCCCTGTCAGCGCTCCACGGCAGCTCTAAGGTCACGTGCACGCGGCGGCGCTGGTTCTGTACCCGCTTGTCGGCCTGCAGAGAAATCCCTGAGCTGGCGGCCTCCGAGATGATGGCGATATTCTACAGGGTGAAAAAAAGCACAATATCACAAACAACCTTCTACAAAATCTAAGACCTAAAATTGGTACAAAATGCATATTGTGCAGCAAACAAGATAACCATTGCGAATAACTTTTCATAGCAACTTGGTATCTTTTACAATTTTCTAAGATTAAAGACTTCTGGAAGTATTTTGGTTTTGGTGACCTTCAAGTTCACCCCATTTCCTTTGTCTGACCTTATGATCTGAACTGATTCAGCTAGTCAATCTTCCCTACCCTTGTGCTGTCAACCTACTCTCAAAGTCAATTCCTGTGTCTGACCTTTTTAGCTCCTGTCATTCTGCCTGTCAATCTAAGTTGGTGTGTCACGCCAAAGGGTGGTTACACCGGCTGTACCGACAAAGAATCTATTTTGCTCTGAGGTAAAAAGAACAGTAAAATGAATTATTTTTCCCTACCTTTTCCCCGTCCATAAAGCGTTGCTTCTCTGTAAGATTGAGGATCTCAAGCGGGACGTCTGTCGCACTTCTGGACTCGTAGCAGATCGTTCCTTCCTCGTTACTCACCACACGTCCTTTCCTGCCTGTCATCTGTGGTTAAAATATCGTTATAACATGGAGTTAAGTCACAGTTACATTTGTTGTACAACAGATGTACAATCACAAATGGCATTCTTGGGAAATAATGCACAAAATTCAGCTGTCTTGCTATGGAAAAGTATAAGTTACATCTATGTCAGCAGCAACAAATTGTCAATTTTTTTGTCAAAATTGACTAGTGTGGACGCTTAACTCCAATTCTAAAAGAAGACTAAGTTTTACATTGCACGGAGAGGGGGAGAAGATACATGTAATGTGTATGACACAGAATACTGTTGAAAGTTGCACAAAACTAGCAAGTAGCTGTGTCTCAGACTTTTTGAAATACCAGATTTCATATCAATCCATCCATAGCCTCTAGAGCTATAATTAATAAGCCACAAACATTGTTACACCACCACAAATGCTACCAAAAACATAGCATTCTTGATGAAGGTAATAAAGATATTATCTACACTTTTAATCTACCATACATCGCCAACGTATTTTTAGCACTTTTCTTGTTTTAGCACCTTATTGCCTGCTGCGTTGGTGGTGGCATAAAAAATTAATTAAAAAAACGTTGAGTGTGAAGTTACCATGTCTTGTGTTAAATGTTGGAATAAAAAAAATCTACCAACAGTAGACATTGGCAACTTAAAGGTGTTTTTTAACACCTTTCTTGTTGAAAAATGTTTTGGTATGTTTCCAATGAGGAAATGGACAGTTTACCTCGGCCACATTCTCAGGCCCTCCCAGGTCGTCTATGAGTTCATCCAGGGTGTTAGGAGGAAGGATCCCTCCCAGTTTCTCTATCCTGTCCAGCAGTTCTCTCTTCATGGCCTGGGCCTGGTCAGCTGCGTCCATACTGCTGAACATAGGCGCTACATGGACGACAACAAGAATGAAAGATTTCACACTTCTGTTTGTTGTGAATTTCTTGCTCTGTTCATTATTGCAAATTTCTTGCTGATTATGTGTATATTCTACTGATACTTCTTCACAGCCTAAAGGAAGACCATTCAGACCTCCAATTCCACTTTCCTGTCAGTCTGCGGTTACACCATTCCCCCCTCAATCCCAGTGACTCTATTATACAAATGTAGTATTAAAATAACTACTGACACACAATGAAGACTTACTATACTCAATTACAGGTATTCGCCTTTTTTTTTCTTAAAAGAAAACAATGTATTAAACTTTTGACTTTTACATCGTAATCTTTCTTTTCCACATACTGTGAGAAAGATAAAGGATCTGATATATACATAAAGTCTGAATTACATGGACTTCCAATAATTAGCATATAATATATAACTTGGCAAGCCTCGAAATTCTTTTTTTTCTGCATACCCACATGTACACTGGTGCAGATAACATATTCAGGGGGTATTTTGAGCCCTGCTTGGACAGTAACTTGACATAAAAACACAGTCACATAAATTATCTCCACTTACTGGAGTCTATTTTGGACTGTGATGCTGCGTTAGCTATGGCTGTCTTCCTCAGGCTGTTAGCAGACTTGGATGAGGAGTTGTTGGAGCTATCTAGGCTTGCAGGGTCCAGAGACTTGCTCTTCTTCAGTTTCTTTGGCTTGGATTTTGTCTTCTCCTTCTTTGGTGGTCTTTTCTCAATCCTGCTCAGCCAAGGGTCTGTGGAGAAAAGTTGGATTTCTTAGGAATCGTGGTATTCTATACAGAAAAGTTGGATTTCTAAGGAATTGTGGTATTCCATACATAGTATAGCTATTAAACAGTTGTGTAGTACTACCAAAATGTCTATCGCCAGTATTAGGATACCACATTAATAAGAGACATTTCATCTTAAGTTTCCTTATGTTCTCAGACTGTTATAAAACATTGCTGCCTTCTAGTACTACTACTTACACATGTAAGTATTTTACTAAATCAAATCTGTAATTACCATGTTACCTCGCCACATACCAAGGCTGATGTGTTACTTCAAATTCTTTAGGATCGCCATTTTAGAAAACTTGACACATACTGAATCAGATGTAAAAGAGACCTTTGTGAGTTCTGACAATATTTTAGAAAACTAGTACTTTCAGTGGGTGTTGGATGTTATGCCGTGAAGTTAGTAATATTGTGTAGAATATCTGTATGATTGTACTTTTTATGCAAACTATTGGTAAACTGGCCCAATTCAAATATTCTTGTGGCGTCGGGTGGCGTAGTGGTTAGAGCGGAGAGATCCGGGTTCGATCCTAAGTTGTACCCGGGACATGTCTGAACATGTGCCCTGACATTGTGCCCTTGGGAAAGGCACTTAGAATGGCTTTCCTCACTCCACCCAGGTGTGAATGGGTACCTAACTTTGGTTGGGGAAAGTTGTATTGAGGTCACCTTGTGGCACCAAATGGCAGCCACACAGACCCTTACGACAGTTCCACAAAAAAATTTGAAGCAAATATGTGTATTATTTGATTGTTGTGATTTGTATTGATTATTATTGCATCAATTCAGCCGTATAAATGCTGCGATTGCACGGGTACTGTTTGGACAATAAAAACTATTTATCATTATTATTATTATTCTGCAAGGCAACCTACCGTCTTCGTCCGACCCTGACCCAAACGGATTGAAGTCATCATCCTCATCAGAAGAACCATGTTTTGGTGAGAAGAAGTCGTCTTCATCACTGTCCACGTTGTTGTCAGAGTCAGATGTGGAGGAGTCGGAGTCACTGTCAGAGCCGCCTGATGTTTTGTCCATCTTCCCTTTCTTAGAGGACAGTACTGACAGAGGACTGGTGTCTGCAAGGAAAATTTAAGTGAAGGAACTTATCAAATTCACTCATTTAGGCATCTGTGTGGTGTAGTGGATAGAGCATCCGACTGTCAAGCAAGGAGACCCAGGTTCAATCCCCAGGGTTGGACCCAGACATGTCTGGACATGCACCCAGATGTTGTGCCCTTGTGAAAGGCACTTAACACGTATTTCCCCCTCTTAGGTTAGTGGGATCCTGTGCCCTACTAGTACTAGGGTTTGGGTTGGTGTTAGGAAGGGCATCCAGCCGTAAAAATCTTGCTAAAAAAAAGGTTTGCATTTAATGCAAGCACCTCTAAACCCCGTTTTGTGGAAAAATGACGTTAAAATTGGATTTAAAAAAAAATTTAGGCCAAACCAATAAGGTGGAAAAAAGGCCTAGGCTATGAAAGTAGCCATGAAGTCAGGCTGGTTTATAAGGAACGCACTTGACATGTGTTAAAATGCATAGTAGATTTTTTTTATGCCCTACCCCTCTTCCTCTTCTCCCCCGGGATGGGAGTGTTGTCAGGACTGCTGCTGCGGCTGCTGCTACGGCTGAAGTCCAGACCGAAGATGTCTGACAGCCGTCTGCGGTCAGGTGCAGGGAAGTGCTTCTCTATCAGCGTCTGAAACACTCCTCTGGAGAAACAATCACGTAAGAAGCGTCAGTTTGCTTGTTTGTTTTGTTATGTTTACCGAAGGAGAACATATTGTTTTTGCTCAGTTTCTTCCTCTTCTTCTTCTCCAAACACTAACCTCTGACCTGGCCAATGACCTGATTTGTTGACGTCTGTCACCATGGTAACAAACTAGTGTTGGGTTACATCATGTTGCAATCTTATAGTAGGAGGGATTTAGATTCCTGTCTGACCATATATATGAATGTATTTGAGTAAGAATTGAAAGAGCAGACCATATGTGAAGGTAAACATTATGCATTTGCTTTGCATATGTTACCTTTCTAGTTTTGTTTGATTTTGTTTGTTTTCAGTCATGAGAAAATGACCGAAAAACGGCTCAGAGGTAAATGACTGTATGACAAGTAAACCATAGAAATTACATAAAGTCTGATATTGTTTAATTTTTCCAAACCAAAAAAGACATCAAAGATCTCATAGCTCTGTGAAGTATTAGCTGTTTTTTTTTCTGGATTTCTTGTTTTATTCATTATTGTGAATTTCTTGCTGTCTATATTTCCCACTGGCTACCATATATATGACAACATGTACTTCCTACTGCAGGAAATTAATGACAGGAAATGAGATAACCTTTTGGCACCTTTGACCTAACTTCCTGTCAGTGTCCATGATGTTTGACGTGCCTAGCATGTGGAAATAGCTATGGAAACACAAGCAAACGCACAAACACACTGATAACAAAACCTCTGTACATATAGGTGAAAAATGGCCCGTACTTTGCAGTGGAGACAAAGTCGTTGAGTTCTCCCCCCTGATTCTCCAGCTCCTCCAGAGTCCTGGCTTCTCCTGTAGACTGTAGACCCATCACAATACACTGTAACGAGAAAAAGAACCATTTGTTGCATCAAAAGATACAGAAAATGTCACATAATGTGATGCTGCATTAGATTATACTATAGATAGTTCACTCTCTATTGAACAGGAGACCATATGCACCACTGGTATGTATTAGTGCTTCTCTCATGTCAATAAAGTTTTTCTCTTCCTTCCAGTTGTAATGTCTTTGCACACGTAGAAGCTAGTTATCAAGAGGGATTCAAACTTTCTTCACTACAACAAGAAATCAGAGATTTCAGAGATTCCAGAAAGTCTTTATTTTGAAAACGTACTGGAAAATGATGTGATTCAATAGGATACTGCACCACTTATTGAATTTCACCCACTACCATCCACCTACTCCTACCAAACACGTGCTAGGGCACTTACAGGCTTGACCTCCCTATCAATCAACTGTCAAAATCATCTCCCACCAGTATGCAACTGAAGCTATTGGGACAAAAACAGATACAAACCCACAACTCAGCCACCCAAAATAATACTTCTGTACCCGTAAGTAAATATTGCATTTATCATTAGATGCCCTTACCTTGTCTAACCGGTGCAATAGCTCAATTGGTAGAGTGCTCGCTTTGTAACCGGGAGGTTGTGAGTTCAAACCCCGGCCGGGTCATACCAAAGACTTGAAAAAATGGTACATACTTCATTCTCTGCTTAGCACTCAGCACATATGAGAAAGAGTGTGGGAAGGTCAAACACACAACACTACCAGCGGACTAGCCCCTGCTGTAGTGCATTGCACAATTGTGTGTCGCCCATGGGCTACGAAATGGAGATGGGCACCACCCAGCTCGGGCAAGAGCACGGGAGACCTTCTTCCCCTACCTTGCCACTCTTGACGGCCTCGCGAGCTATCCTGACGGCAGGTTTGACCTTGGAGGCGATACAGAGGTACTTGAAGAAGCGCTGGTGTGCCGACCAGAACTGGCCCCACATGGACTTCCTCATGCGGTGCTCCGCGTCAATCAGCTCGGCTGCCTTCTGGAAGTATTCTCTCGCATCTACCCACTGGATGGAGAAAATGTATGAGATAGTGTTCAGTACCAAGGACAGGTCTGCTTGTGTGTGTGTGTATGTGGATGGCATTCAGCACCAAGGACAGGTGTGTTTGCTATTGAGTATGTGGACAGTGTTCAGCACCAGGGACAGGGCTGCTTGCTATTGTGTGTGCATGTTTGTTGAAGGATGGCATTCAGCACCAAGGACAGGTGTGTTTGCTAGTGCATATGTGGATAGTGTTCAGCACCAAGGACAGGTGTGTTTGCTATTGTGTATGTGGATAGTGTTCAGCACCAAGGACAGGTGTGTTTGCTATTGTGTATGTGGATAGTGTTCAGCACCAAGGACAGGTGTGTTTGCTATTGTGTATGTGGATAGTGTTCAGCACCAAGGACAGGTGTGTTTGCTATTGTGTATGTGGATAGTGTTCAGCACCAAGGACAGGTGTGTTTGCTATTTTGTATGTGGATAGTGTTCAGCACCAAGGACAGGTGTGTTTGCTATTGTGTATGTGGATAGTGTTCAGCACCAAGGACAGATGTATTTGCTATTGTGTATGTGGATAGTGTTCAGCACCAAGGACAGATGTATTTGCTATTGTGTATGTGGATAGTGTTCAGCACCAAGGACAGGTGTGTTTGCTATTATGTATGTGGATAGTGTTCAGCACCAAGGACAGGTGTGTTTGCTATTATGTACTATGTGAATAGTGTTCAGAACCAAGGATAGGTGTGTTTGCTAGTGCATGTGTGGATAGTGTTCAGCACCAAGGACAGGTCTGCTTGCTGGTTTATGCACAAGTGAGTGTGTGTGCGTTTGCTTGTACAGTATAAGTATTTGATTGACATCACATGGGTGGAGCATACTACCTCCCAACAGACCACAAAAGGTCAGACACAGGAAATTGGGTCCCAGAAGATGGCTGAAACCCAGCAGGAAGTTGGCAGGGTGCCAGTAAGAAAACAAATTCATTATTTTATGTATTTTCCCACTGGCACAAAGGTAAAAAAAAAGGAATTGATGTTATTTTGCACTTTTGCACTGAGATTACAATCAATTGAAGTCCTCCTTCTCACCAGTTTGACGGCAGCGTCGTACATCGCAATAAACTCGTCCTCTAACGGGATTTCTTCGATCTTGAAGGAGACGCCGGCGAAGCTGAGCTGCCGGGCCATGTACATCCCACGCAGCTTCATATCCATGGCAACAATCTCCATGGCACCCACACCCCTATGATGGAACAGAAAACAAAATAAAGATCAATTTCTGCGTGAATCTGTTCACTATTTTAACCTTCTCCCTGCTGTCTAACGCAATGACCTATACAAAATTGATAGCCAAATGACTAATACACAGTGCTTCAGTGGTAAAGATAGTCCCGTAGCAATTTTTGCAGTTGTAGGGGCAGTGGGTTGTTAATCCACTGTGCCAAAGGCATGGTATTGAAAGGAGGAACCCATCACTCTCCTTCCACTGCCTTTTACCTCCAAAACCATCAGATACTCAATATTTCACATCTGGGTAATTACAAGATTCGGTCTGAAGACCCCAGATATCTTACAAACGTTAGTACCTTCTTTCCACAGCTTGAATAAAGTCATTAAACTCTCTAAACGGCGTGCCCTCTCCCCAAATTCCCAGACGAGACATGTATGCCATGTTCTTTGGTTCCGACGCTCCTGTGATAAAACAAATAACAACATCAGTTTTGAAACATTTCGGACATCTGACATTTCCTGCATGAAGCAACCTAGCTTTTGGAAGTATTGTTTTGTGTGGCTTGAGTAGTGGGTTTGTCTCTCTGCCCCATATGCAGCTGCTTTGATTGCATGGTGGGTGGGAGGGGATTTTGACAGTTGATTGGTAAGAAAGTAAAGCCTTAAGGTGACCCAGCATATCCCAGGTAAGGGTACAAATCTGAGTGGTATTCTAAGGAATCACAAGGAAGGAGCATATTCCTGATTTAATTACATCATGATAATAGGTTTTGTTTCAATACATTCTGGGAAACCTAAAATACTTCAAGGAAGTCTGGAATGTCATATTTCTTGGTTTTGTTGTAGTGGTGACACTTGTTAGCTGTATTAAGAGTTTTCCCAACACTTCAATCCCCCATTACATACAAATCAACAATTTTAGGAGAGTGTAACCTTCTAAAAAAAATACAGTACATCAGGTAGAATGTGTGGCACACAAAAAGCAGCTCCTACCTGTAGCACTAGCATAGACAATCCTGGCTTTAGGCAGGCGATTCTGCAGCTCCAGTACAGTAAGGCCAGTCTTGGTGGGTTTGGAGGAGCCGACAGGACACAGGTTCTTTGCCTTGTGACATTCATCAAACACAATCTGAAGTCTAGTCAAGGAACACATCACAATACATCTGTACACAGTTAGAATACATGTACTACGTTACTAAGAGCAGGTTATGTTTACATTAAGGACAAGATATTTGGCAGTGCCTCAGGGGCCAGCCTAATAGTATAGTTTGTAATCAATCTTCTAGGAATGTCACAGGAAGTTCTGTTTACAGAATGCATACAATGTCTCTTGTAATCTTGACAGATTGTTGTGATTTTTTGCATGAAAGTTCATCTGTATTCAGTTGGCATAACACATCATGATAAAAAGGCTAAACTATATGTCCAACAGCAAGTAAATTGAGACAAATTTTTGGCCAACTCCATTTGCCTTGTTCACGGCATGGACCCTTCTACTGCAGCTTCCGGGACGTGACATTGGAAACACGAGATTCGCATCAGAGGGTCATACCTGGCTCCCAATTTACAGGGCTCGAATTAATGGTGTCCCGATGGTGTGTAGTGACCACTAAAATTTAAGCTGGGACAACTAAAAAGACAAGTTGGGACATTTTGAAATAAAAGAAAAATAATAAGAATGTCAGTCCTTCTTTTGTTTGGCTGTGGAAAAAGCTACCCCAAATTTCACGTTTATTCTGCAATTATAGCGCACCTGGAAGTCAGAACGTAAGAAAAATAAAGCTGACTTCAAGTTCACTTCCTGAAAAACAGGTTGGGATAGTTCATCCTTACTTAGGGACAATTGAAATTTATTTTTGGGACAGTGCTGGGACAATTATAGGAAAGAAAGTTAATTTTGAGGCCTGATTTACTTGGTGTCGGACATAAAGTACTAGCCTTTTTGTCAGATATAATTTCTGAAACCATGTTTATTCCAGGTGATAGCAAAAAGGATACCACTCCGTCAAAGTCCTCTCCACACCAGTGTAGGATCTGTTGCATCCTGGTCCGGTACTTGCCGCTGCCCTGGCTCTCACCAATCAGGGAGGAGTACGTGGCAAAGGTCACGCCCTTCTTCACGCCACCGTTCTCCTTGGACGAGATCTTGGCGTGGTACTTAAACTGGAGAAGAGAATAGCATTTATTGAGAAATAAAAATAGAGGGAGTGCTAGCCCAAAAATATAAGGCCATGTTGATTTGATTAATGGATGACATGTCCTGGGAACCCCGAAACAGTTTTGCAAAAAAAAAGTTACTTTCATTATGAAATCTAAGTGGTCATGAAGGTTGAACGAATGACACAGTATGGTATGGTGAATAATCTACTCTTCAAATTCATTTCTTTACATTTTCGTCTTTTTCGATTGATTTTGGCATTCTACCACACACATTGGTATCGTTTTCCAACATTTTTTTTTGCAATCTACGGTATTTTGCTTATTTTGCAACTGTTTTGTACGATTTACAGTATGGTTGAAAACTTTTTTTTGGAAACGGTCATCCATATAATCAAATCAACATATCACCATTTTGCCAAGTCAAAACTACCAAATTACAAATTTGTTTGAACCTCTGCCACTCTGAAACAGATCTACAATGCAACATGCACTAGTAAAATCCAGTTCCTGCATACATGTATCTATATATTTGTGCATAACTGGGGGGTGCTGCCCTGGAGACACTGTTTATCAAAGTGGTGAATATATGCGAATGAAGGATACACTACTTAGGTATAATCTAGGCTATATCACTAAAACCATTGATCATCACATTGTCATTAGTAATCAGAAAATTCAAATATCAAATTTGCCCACCTTGTTGAGGGAGTGTACTGACACTTTGGCACCGATATCTTTCAAGTCTCTCTCTGCGTCCACTTTCAGATCATTGGAAACACTCAACCTGCAACAAACAGCAGAGATTGAATGATCATATAATTCAAACCTTCTCCTACTACAATATACCATTGTTAATCTAATTTTACATGGATGAAACTGATTGAAAACAAATACACTGTGTAGTGCTGCGTACCAGTTCACTGGACTTGGATCCGGACTAGTAAGAATGTTTACCAAAAAACCTAAAAGTCAAGAACCGAGTCCGGACTTATTACCATAAAAGACCATTTCACATACCCCTCTTTCTTTCCAAACCACCTAAAACCTTCCATAGATTGCAAAATCTGTGCTGCAAAATGAAGAAAGCATTGCCATTGGGCATTGTCAAGTGTCAGCCTCCATGTTATGTGGCCAAAGTCTTACCCAAACAACATTGCAAGGTTGCCAACATGCAATTTTGTATATGCCATGGATTTAGGTCTGGAACTGAACCTAAACCTCTGGACTTGAATCCAGACCTGAACCTAAATGTGGGTTTTGGTACACAGCACTAATGATGAAACATACAGAACGTGTTGTGGAGTCACCTACCATAACGATCTCTTCCTTCCCAGGAGGTAGTTCTCGAAGATTATTCCCGCTATCGTTCTACCTTTCCCCACCCCTGCACCGTCACCTGCAAATATAGAGATCATTGCACATGATATATCAAGTGGAATGCTGTAACATTTTTGCAACAAAAATTTTAATATTTTGAAAAATCTTCTTGTGATTGTCATTTACTTCCACGTTTCAACATATTTGTGCTGTTATTTCACATTTCTGTCATTCATAGTTCTATGAAATATGCAATAAAACATGAGGCACACTCAATTTGTGGCACCACCACAAAATACCAGATTGTAAACAAACATGACTGACAGATTTGAGCGTTTAAACACACTCATATCGTGTAATATTTTTGCATCTCCGCTTCTATGAGAAGTCAGATTCACAGACAAGTCTCCAGATCTCACCTATGAGGAAGCCGGCCCTTTCCCCGCTGGCTAAGAAGATCTCGTGTTGCTGACAGGCGTAGGTTATGGCCTCCAGCTGCAGGGCTGACAGGTAGCCGTAGTCTATGATGTGCTCGGGGATGGCCAGCTTGTACCACACGTCTGGCGGCTGCACGCTGGACAGGGAACTGGTCTCCACCACCGAGTCAGGATGTCCCAGTCCGATATCCACTAACCAACAATATTCAAATTAGATGTTTTGATAATCAGTATATAGTAGAGGGGATTCATTCCTCAAGCTACCGACATCTTGCACACGCAGTCGTCCCTCAGTAAGACATCTGGAGCCGCATAGTTCCCGTCTAGAGCTTTTATTCAGCCTGTCACATGACCGGTTTCGCCTGTGTGGCTTCTTCAAGTGTACAGAGGCTAAATGACACAAGTACATGAAGTTCTCACTTTCTACCTTTCCAGTACACAGTGCCCTCAGGTCAGTTACATGGCGTTCAGATCGCCCTGACCTGTTACATAGTTCGTTTTGACCTTGGTTGATCTACTACATGACGTCACTTCTAGAACAATTAAACGACTGCGTGTGCAAGATGTCGGTAGCTTGAGGAATCAATCCCCTCTACTATATAGATGTTTTGATAATCATTAAGCTTCTTTGCGGCTTTGTTTCAGATTCAGATGTGTCTGTCTGTGCGTATGCTTGTGTTTGCGTCTACTAGCTCTAGTTATTTCCTGTTGCTAGACACACTGGTCACGAACAAGAACTTAGGTCAATGGTCCCAGAAAAGGTTACCTCATTTCCTGTCCTGAACTTCCTGCTTCAATAAGGATTCTTACCTCTGTGTATGGAAGTTTTGTTTTCAATGTGTGTATTTTTCATCTGTTACATATATTATTATTTCATAGACATGCTAGACATGCCATAACACTGACATGAAGTTAGGTCAAAGGTCCCAGAAAAGGTTACCTCATTTCCTGTCCTGAATTTCCTGCTTCTATAAGGATTCTTACCTCTGTGTGTGGAAGTTTTGTTTTCAGTGTGTGTATTTCTCATCTGTTATTAGTTATTTCATGCTAGACATGCCACGACACTGACAGGAAGTTAGGTCAAAGGTCCCAGAAAAGATCATTACATGTACTATCATTATTTCCTGTCTACAATATCCTGCTATATGTGCATGTCTGTTACCATATGGGAGTAAGGTAACATTTTTGCACTCTTCAATAATTTTTACTTCTGCATACTTCTTCATTGTAATTTTATTGCTTAACTGTTTTTTCAAATTTACTACAACTATCTATAGTATAAATGTAAGCGTTTTCCGTCCTAGCATCAATACAAAGGTTCTATACAACTCGTACATACAGTGTGGTGAAGCTGTACTTACATTTACTGGGTGTGTACTCAGCATACGTCTCAGCCACGCCCAGTTCTTCCTCTTCTTCTTCCTCTTCCTCCTCCTCCCTCTTCACTACACCACTACCGGCCGGCTTAGACGACTGACCCTGGAGTCATGGAAACAAAAAATCTTTGTCGTACAGCTTGAGTTAGAAAGACACTAGCCTGTGTAACACAATCTCTTGCAGTCAGGGGCTGATTGGGCCTCCTTCATGAGACCTTGAAGACACACCTGTAAGTAACTCAAGAGAACCATTGCCATTCCCAGAGCTACCAATACCATGGTAACATTACTACTACTTATTACAAACAGTTCTGTCTGACAACAATCTAACCTGGACCAGAGGCTGTCACCATGGTAACTGCTGCTATAGCAGATACCCTGTGGTGTTGGATATCATATCATGTAGCAAGTCAGAGGGGCTGGTCAGGTGTTTTAGTAAGAACATTTACAGAGCAGTGGTTTGTTGGGCTAAGACTAAAGGTTAACATTATGCATTTTCTTTGCAACTGTTACCTTTCTAGTTTACGGTAATACTTGGTTTACAAAGACAAACATGAGGAAATGCTTACAGGAGTTGGTGAGAGGCTCCTGATCTTGATGTCTTCGTTTGCCCACAGTCTCGACACGTCCTTTCCCGTCAGCTCCTTCTGCACGCTGCCATTGGCTGCGGAGGTGACCGTGTGACTCGATGCAACATTTCCAACAGAAGACGCCAACCCGACGCTACTACTACTAGCCGACGCCCGCTGTAGCGTGTTACTGGGGAGCGTACGCACGTATACCGAAGCGGACGAGTTCGTACCTGGTGTTCTGGGCAGGGAGATAACTTGTATGTTTGGCGAGGACGACCTTGGTACGGAGACACTGACGACGTTTCGTGACGCGGCCTTGTCCGACAACAAGCTCGCGATCAGTCTGTTCTGTTCGGTCTTTGGGATGGTTGTCGCCACCGGCCGCGTGATGACTTTGGTTGCAGCGGGTTGCTGTAGGACGCGCGTGGCGGCGACAGGCACGTGGATGACCCTCTGACCCGTGGTTGCGTTGGTGACAACCGCGGTGGCGGCAGGGCGGGACACGATCGTTGGTTGTGTGGCTGTTATATGTATGACACGTGGCTCCTCCTGCAGAGAAGGCAGAAAATTTAACACACTGAAAGAGCAACTAGTGTTACAATTATAGAATAGATTTAGATGAGCTAGAAAACATCCATCACCATCTCCATTTTAACTGGTTTTTAACTTCCAGGTACAGAAGTATAGTTTTAGATGACTGAGCTTTGGGTCTACATATACATGCATCATGTGTCTGTATATCCAGACAGAGTAGGTTGACAGCACATAGATGGGAGAAAGATTAACAGGAGGTCTGAAGGTCAAGAAACCCAAAAGACTTCCTGAAAGTCCGAAATTTTTCTGCAACATCAAGTGTCAACCCTATTTCCATGCATTTCTGTGACATACCAAAAACTTGGATCATAAAATGGTTGACATATAGCAATCCATGTAAAGTTAATATTTATATCTATTACCTTCTTGTGCGCTTGTGTTACTGGAGCTGGGTCGTCTCTCAGTGCCATCAGGAGTGGGTCATTGTTAGGGTCCATCTCCAGACCACTAACTGCCATGGCCTGGAATAAGAAGGTAGCAAAAACATCAACTTCAGAAGTTCTGTAATCATTTCCACTAACATTACAGGCATGTCAGGACACAGACAGGAAGTTAGGTCAAAGGTCCCAGAATGTCCACAGAAAAGGTTATCCCTTTTCCTGTCATGAATTTCCTGCATGTCTGTTGCTTTATGGGAGCCAGTGGGTAAATGCACATCAATCATAGTACAAAATTTAATGGTTTTTATTCAGTGGGAACATCACATATACACAGCCAGCATCACATATCATTGCATCAAAGTAAGAAACAAAACATTAAATCAGAGCCTTTTCTTGTCTCTTCTCTTAGTTTTCTGCCATCCACCTTCTGGCATGGCAACAGACATCTTTGCCCATTTCAGCATATTGACCACTGTCAGAAGGCAACAAAATTTCTTCGTTTTTTTTTTTAAATCAGGTGAAAATGAATGCGCGCCCTGATGTCGTCCATAAAAATTACTTGCTGTGGCCTAATGTATAAAAGAAGAGATTCGCCGAAACGTGAAATATTTCATGGAGGATCTTCGATTTTACATGACTGTATAAGAATGACTACAGTAACTGTACCTGGGCCAACACACTGCCTGGGTCTGCCCCCCCATCCGTCGCTGACCCCTGACCTGCGTCTGTCGGAGGGTTGAGGATGTCGTTGGCATCGAACGCCAGACCACTCTCGTCTAGCGCAGCCGACAGAAGGTCGAACGAACTGTCACCCATCTAGAAGGAAGAAAAAATGGGTTATATTAACCTTCACACTAAGATAGCCTACTGGCACCATATTTGTATTGGCTACAGGGAGAAGGCTAAAACATTCAATTTTCTTTGTTCCATTCTGATATATGCTGTCAGCTCAAGTCACTCTATAAATGTCCTATATAGCTAAATGCCTTTATTTTGGACGATTCTAAAGTCTTACATAGCCTCAAAAATTTAACCTTTTCTGGTAAGAATTGTCACACTTCCTGTAGATTGCTTGATTGCTACATTTTGTACCTTACAATTTTTAGAATATATTGTATGATTTTTAAATTTGAACACAGTCTCATAGTACTAGAGCCAGGTAAAAGTAAATAACAGCTATTGTCATTTTGTATTGTTCATTGTAATGATTCTCACGCGTTGGAAATGTTCAAAACTTTTGTGACTTCCATTTTCAAGGAAAGGTAACACATTAAGTTTGTAGTCAGTTTCTAAAGACAGCGCACCAATTTCTAATAACTTGATTTTGTTTTAGGGGAAACAAAGGCTGTGTTACATTTCTTCAAGTTTCTTCTTCTCCTTCACGTACCATTCCTGAATTCAACTTCTACATAACGTTATAGTTACAATTTGACTACATAGAATATACTTTTACAATTGCTGTGTCATGGTTGCCAGATGAGTAACTCCTGCTTTTATGACGATAATCTTTCAGTTTCCTTTTGTTGGAACCTAAATTGCGTCATAGGCTTCATAGGATTAGCACTAAATCTATGCTTTTCTGGTACAAAAATATGTGAATAGCCCAGGTATATACACTGCACTATATTGCTGGATTTGAATATCATTTTGACAAAAGTCGATGCCTTTCATGTTTAGAAATTATGTTGGAAAGAGATAAAATTTGCGGGACGGTCACTTTCCGTTCTAAAAAGAGGAAGCATGACATATACTGACTTTCGAAACCTCCGGTCTAAAGTCTTAGTGAGAAAATCCGATGTATCCAAAGCTGGGTTAGTCTATGATGTCACCTGAAATATAGATCAGTTGTATCGATTCCCCCTTTTTATATGACAATGGTGTCTCGTGGTGTCGGAATCATAATGGAAACTTTTAGTTCACTGACTCATAATTTTGCCAAACAAACATGCGCACGTGGAAGTGAAAATCGTGACTTCCGGGTTGTAACACGAAACACTGGGATTTTCAGCACTTTTTTGCATCACCAAATCTGCCATGAGATGATTTTGAAAAAGCACGTTTGATTTGAAAGTCATTTTTACGGAAAGGGCCTTCGGTGGGCACGGGGATTCCGAATATAGACAGGGACGGTTGTGGTAACAACGCAGCATCCAAGGACAGTTACGTGTGGGAACAGTCCGGAGTGAGCCGGCAAAACACACCAAATTCACGGGCGATTATTTCCGTAAATACGCCGTGAATGATGATTCTGATCCACTCAAATGAATCTTTGACTTCTTATCTCACGATAGGAGTAGCGTGGTATGTCAGATCGCCTTACCTTTCGCCCTCTAGCCAACCTTCCGTAGCAGTGTAAAGCACGTCGCCATCCTGTGCTCGAGTGACCATCCTGGCCACCATTTTGTTCTTATTCTTTGGACCTTTACATTCTTCCGCGGGCGGGGGCAAAAATATTTCAACTTTTTATATTTCATAGCAACAGTCACCTCTACAAGCAAAATTATAACAAGCAATATAGCATACATAATTCTAAAGGTAATGAAAAATTGAAGATGACAAGATATTGTATATTTTATGACTTAGGAAAGATGAATGACAGACTTGTTACTAATCCTACCCTATCATTACTTACAATAAAATATCCCACGGTCTCGAATTTTCTCGAAAAACGTAGTCACGTGAGTTTTTACCCAAGAGTTTTGGTGAATGCGCAATCAAAATTCATATTTGTTGTTCTAGTTGTTTACATTATCAAATTTTTATCTAGAAAAATATAATTTTACTCAAAATTGTTGCGACTCAGAAAAATAATGCTAATAAGTTCAAAGGTGAGAGATTCTAGCCAATCAATGCACTCCTAATCAAATTCGCGCCAGAGGAAGGATTGACCAATCACAGGCCTGTATTCGATTTAAATCCCCACAGTTTGAACACAACCAAGCTAAGCTGCACACAGTCGCTGGACGTTGTCTTTGTTGCGCCTAGTTTTCCCAATTTCTCTGGATCTTTTGGCTCGACAAACCATGGCAAGAGGTATGATATGGCAAAACGAATCTGCAGAATTAATTTCATATGATCCTTCATTTTATAGCGTCCGTGAGACCTAGTAGGGAGACCAAGCATAATTTTTGATAGGGGGCGCATGGGTTAGATTCGGCAGATATTTCGATCGGTGGAGCTAGATTCGATCGCCAGGTCGCTTTTGATGTAGTTTTAACTTTATTTTACAGGGAGATCGAAGAAGAACAGACATGTGAAGGGAGCCGAATCCCCACAGGTTTGCAAGACGAACCGAACGGTAAGCAAAGCAGACTACATAAACACTGTGTGTTGTTTTTGGTCAAATGTGGTGGGGAGGGGGGCATGTGTTTGCCTATGACTCGATGATTGTGTTCTGATTTGGATATCTCGCTGTCACATATAGTTCTGAAAAAATTATTCGGCATTGCATGTAACGTCAAATATCAATAATATAGCATCTATCCTGTTGAAACATCCTCATATTGTGTTGTTATATGAATATGTAAATGACAATTTTCCTAAATTATGATATAATTTCTAGTGTCCTTGGATATAGAAAGACAATAAACAGTAAAATTTGGTCAAATAAGAAATCAGACTTCAGAGATTTCAGACTTGCAAGTATACAGACTACTAGTATCCTTGATTCCCTGGCCATGTTGACCACTATAGTGTAGTCCTGCTATACATAATGTAACATAGCTCCCAGCTAGATGAGAGTGAGACCCTCACATTTACCCCATTTTCTGAGTCTGACCTTTTGCCCTATAACCTCCTTGATTCATCCAGTCAATCTTACCTCCCACATGCTGTCAACCTACTCTGTCCGGACACAAATCCAAAACGATATTTTCGTACCCATTCATAAGTAACTATAAGTACTAATTACATCTTCCTATGTTGTTGATTTTGCCTGATTTGTTTATCATTGATATTTGATAACCAGGAGACCACTATGCAGGTAGAAGGGAAGGTAGACTTGAGTGAACAAGAGGTCATCACTAACTTCTTTCCAAAGAGCCCAGACAACAAGGCACGACAGGCAGCGAAGGAGTTGATTGACATCGCCAAGGCAACAGAAGACGTTGTCGTGACCAGGAGGCCCGGAGCTGAAGCTGAAGGTTTGACACTTATCATCATCATCATCCTTCTGGTTAAGGCCACACCAACTTAATTTTATGGATGACATCCGCGCGCGCATTAAGCTTACCCTGTTCTCAAAAAAAGTCACGTCCTCCGAGACCTCAGTACATACGTACAGTGCCGATTCATAAATTCCACAAAAAGCAAGCATGTGCCGGCTTGTAGTATACGTCATGATGTACTGCCGCAAATGGAGGTGTGGCCTTACATATTTCAGAAGCAAATCAGGTGAAACATTTGTCCCTTTCACACAAACAGGGATGGATCCTCCTAGCCTGGGTACCATCCCCAGTAGTATATTCGCAAACTCTATAACTGGGTCTGGACTTGCACACATATGTAGCGTCTGGAGTCTAAATATTCGTTCAGATTTTGAACGAGCGCGCTGATTGGTCCTACTCGTCTAAGCCCTTTTTTGGGTGTGTACATATTAGGTAAGGGCTGTTCGGATGTCCGAACGGCGACGTTAGCGTCCGTTCGAACGTCCGAACGCCTTATCATCAACATGTCCGACGGCGAACCGAATGCTAAAGCACACATGATATAGCCGTAGTCAGTCTTTCCGCGATAAATCATCAACATGGCTGACGCACAAGCCGCTCAGCTCACGGAGGTTGATGTTGATGTTGACCTCGCAATCACGTCCGTTTTGGACGATTTAGACGGAATATCGTCGCTCAAAAATGAGCAAAAAGATGCATTGAATAATTTCGTTCATGATGTTTTGGGCGTCCTACCGGTAAAAAAAGAACGCGCCGAGAAAAGGAACACTCGCACGAAGATCTGTGTTTACAAAACAACAAACATCACTTGAATAATGCAGGCGCGACATTGGCCGTCGCCTCTGAGGCTTAGCCAATCAAATGAAGCCCCGCTGCTCGGGCTAGCTCATTACGTGACGTCATGACCAATCGTTTTATATGTGTGCAAGTCCAGACCCAGTTATAGAGTTTGCGAATATACTACTGGGGATGGTACCCAGGCTAGGATCCTCCTACTCCTAGCGACAACCCTCTAAGTCCTGATGTTAAACTGTATTTGTTGGATCACTTCAGCAGAAATCTAAAAACGAAAAGAGAATCCCAACTTACTGTTTTTTTGGGGGCAGGGGGGGGGACTGAAATCGGAAACACTTAACAATTTTTTTTTCTAGGCCTCACTGAACGTCAGGTTGATATAAACACTTACTATAGGATGTTGTATAAAGAACAGTGAGTTATGAACCTATTGAACTATTCATGGATTCTGATCGGTAGCTTTTCAATCCACCAAAACATGTCATGCAAAGTAAATGACTGATTTTGTTTTTCTGCTACAGTTTCCCAGCTGATATCCACAGGTTTGGTCACCCCAGAAACCACACCCACAAAGACAAAGGCCAAACCAGAGAGAGACCAGATGCTTCAACTGAAACCAAAATCGTTAGAAAGTGGCCTAGGTGACGCAACTGGCATTGTACTTGATGACAGGGAAACTCTTTTGGCTCAGTCGGACAAGCAAAATGAAATGTCCGATGTGAAGGAAGCATCTACCGCTACTTCAGCTAAAGGTAGAGGCAGAAAGGGTGGCAAGAAAACTTCTTCTACCACCAGTGTTACTAGACCATCATCTGCAAGGAAAAGGTTTGTATTGGTTCTTACTTCCTGACAAGCTACAGACATTCACTTTTACCAGTAATTACTTCCGGGTATGGAAGTATTATTTTGGGTGGCTGAGTGTAAGTTGTCAGTCTGTCTGTCTGTCTACCCAAGTAGCTTCCATTGCAAGGTGGGAGGGAGGTAATTTTGGCAGGAATCAGCACAGGTTGGGTGGAAGTCAGTGGGTGATATGGAAAGTGGTGTAATACCTGATTAAATTACATCATAAAAAGGAGGTCTGTGAAATGGAAGGTCACAAGAACCCAAAATATTGCTGAAATCTCTAAATTTGTGTTTATGCTGTTTTTTGTATAATGTTGTCTATAGTATAGGCTAGTAGCAGCTTTGCTTTGTTGATCAATCCTTGTTTTAACAATTTAAGATGCTCATTATAATACTGTTGTTTTTTTTTACAGAAGAGATAGAAAACCAGTGAAATCTCATCACATTGATGAGTACTTTGTGAGAAGGAGTGCCAGAAAGTCTCAGGCAGAGCTGAAGGTAAGTCAGGAAGTTTTGAAAAGTGTAGATTTTTGGGGGGCCTCATTGCAAAAGAACTTGAAATTGGACTGTGCGACAGCAAGGCATGAGTACTTTTTCTTACCCAAAGTTCCTACGAGCATGTTGTCACAAGTACAACAGCTTTCTCAACAGTTAATAACAGACAGTTCCTACAAATGTAATCATTCAGCCACAGCTTGTTGCCTAAATACTGAGTGATAGGCTAAAGAATAAAGAATACAAGAATTACCCCCACACAACGGCACTTCCACACACTAACTGTTCATTTAAGATTTGTGCACAATAGAATGTCATGACATATTTTTAAAATCTTTTTTTTTTGCAGCAAGAGAAAGAGGAATGGATAGAACAGCAGATATTGGGAAATGTAGAGGAAGGGATGGAAGTAAGTACAAGCACCATTACTAGTAATATATATTAAACAAGATTAAAAAATAAGATTTCAGACTCTGAGAAGTTCTGTATTTTGTGTTTTTGTGACCTCCAAGTTTACTCCCATTTCCTGTGTCTGACCATTTGACCTATCATTATGCTCGTCAGTCTTTCCCACCCATGTGCTGTCAACCCCATTTCCTGTGTCTCATCTTTTTCCCTGTCATTCTGCCTGTACATCTTCCCTCACCCACCACCCACATGCTGTCAGCTTACTCTGTCCAGGCAAACAGACACACTGTACTCTGAGTCTGAATGTAAATTACATGTACTAGTACATTAACCATTTTGGTTTCCCTTCTTCTTTGTAGGTTGTGGATATAGAAGGCAAGGGGAGGGGGGTAGTGGCCACCAGGCCATTCGGTCGTGGCGACTTCGTGGTGGAATATGCTGGCGATCTCATTGACACAAAAACAGCCAAGGATAGAGAAGCTAAATATGCAGAGGACCCAAGCACAGGCTGCTACATGTACTACTTCAAGTACAAGAACAACACATACTGGTGAGTGTCAAACTTGGACATTACTAGCCTGGTTATATTTGTGGAGAGGATGTAGGACTCAGGAGCTATAATAGTTTGGTAACCAGGCTAGGACATTACAAGACAGCTGCATGAAAATGGATGGCATCAAATGACTATTGAGAAAGCATGGTGACCTGTTCTCAATTATGATTGTTTCTTGTCCCTTTTCTTTTGTTGTCATTGGATGTCATGGTATCAGTGGTATGCTGTGCGCAGTTGGATGAAATTAGAATTCGCTTGAACCGAAATATTATTTCCCTGCATTAATGCAGTAAATCTTGTTTTATTTTAGTGTTTTTGACAGTGACTGCTTCGCTGCAAATTCACATATATGTGTTTCCATCTAATTTTGCTTAGTTCAACACTGAACCTTTAATAGCAGAACCTTTTATAACCCCACATAAATCATGAATCTATTGTACAAATGGTCTATTACAATCTTTTTCTCTTATTTCACAGTGTTGATGCTACAGCAGAGTCAGGTCGGCTAGGTCGCCTTATCAACCACAGTGCCAGACACAAGAACCTGATGACCAGGTCCATCTCCGCAGGGGGTCTGCCGCGCCTTATCCTGGTGGCCGCCAGGGACATCCAGCCTGGCGAGGAGTTACAGTACGACTACGGAGACCGGAGTAAAGAATCGCTCGCGTCACACCCTTGGTTGGCTTGTTGAAACGTGTAACAAACACACATTCAAGTAATCTGTTGCTGATACTCAAGCAACTCGATAGTGTTGTCATGAAAGTTCATCTGTGTTGGTAGTTAAAGTTAAAACTTTTGGTCCAACACAAAAAGTTCTCTCACCTAGAGCTTGACCCAGTGTTGGCGTCACACTTCAAAGAAACCACGTAACAAGCCTCTCTGGGTCAGTCTACTGAGGAAGACCACAGTGACTGGTTGAAAGGTCTAGGTGAGAGAACTTTTTTTGTTTGGTTGGACCAAAAGTTTTAACTTTAAACATCAATAGAATAGTATTGTATTTATCCAATGAATTGATATGTAAATTTGTCTCATTTACGTACATACATCCAGTCGCTTGAGCAACAGTTTCCTTGTGTATCTCATTACCTGGATGTTTAAACTTCATTGACATGCAACAAACATTCTCATCAACACTAGCCTGGTTACCGAACCTATTATACATGTAGCTTCCGAGAGCTATAATAGGTTTGGTAACCAGGCTACATCAACACTGCCATATGAACCTTGTTGCCTTTAACTGGCCAGTATCTAAGAATAAGCTGGTTCACAATCTGAACTGTGCATGTGCAAGGTTATAATTGAATTTCAATTGAATAAAGTCTCAAACTCTCAAAGGTCCCTAACTTGTAAATAGTTCTTGTCTAGCAATGCTTGATACTAATATATGTCCAGATATGTTTTGTTTATGTCTCATGGGCCATCAAATTTGAAATATTACCCACAACACATCACACTGCAGATACACAGTTTAAACCATGAACCAGCTTATTTAGAATGTAAGGAATTGTACAGATAAAACTAGGTAATTCTAGTTTGTATGTATGTTTGTATGTATGGCAAAATCAATCCAATACTGGTAAAATGGGTTTGCTATGCTGCTAGCTAGTATTTTTATGATAATTCATTAACTGATACATGTAACTGTTCTCAACATTGCAAATTTTGTCTTCTTGCAAATTTTGTCTTCAGAAAAGTTCAGACATGTTTTTTTGTTGTTAGAATGAGGGTCCAACAGGATATGCTGTACCATGTTCCCTTGTAATGCCACTGTGCCTGATGTTCTCATTGGCAGACCCAAAGTGATTTCAGGGAGGTAAAACTAGATTTTCAAAGCCAATTTTCTGGTCATTTTTTAATGTAGATTTTGTAGTTGAATCAACCACCGCAGATACCATACTCACCTGTGATTGTTGCTTGTTTCATATCATAGGCTGGTTCTAGCTATTTATTGGTGGTACCAAAAAATAAAGGGACCTCTCACCTAGTTTGGTTAGGAGCTAAAATGATGACAAAAATGTGCAAAGAAATGACAGTAAATGTCATCAGGCATATTTCCTCACCCAGAGCATTTTTTGTTTTGCCTCCCTGAAATTGCATTGGATACCTTTAAAAATCCTTCTCATCAGTATGGTAGCATCTAAGCCTTGTATCGTTTGTATTTTTCTGTAAATAATTTAACATTGTACATTGGAGCTGAAAGACTGAGTTTGTAGTTTTATTGTATTAGTTTAGTTTTTTGTGTGTTTGTATCATTTTTTTCTACATCATCTCATGTAATATATTCTCTCACTTTTAGTCTTGTGTTTCCCACTGTTTCTACCTGTATCTGTAGGGTTGACTGAAAATAGCATGGCCTAATAGTATTGAGTAGTAGGGCCATTTCAAGAATTTCCATGTATTTTATCCTGTAAAAATTGTCTCAAAATTTTGATCCATAGACATACAAGTCATGTGAAGACTGGTGTACATGTATCTTGATAACATTAATACTTGATTGATTGAACTTTGATCCAGGCTGCTTACACATTGTCAAGTAAAATTGAACATGAAGTTTAAAGTAAGGAATCTAACTTACACCTGAATAAATCTTAGAAATATTACACCTAGTATTGTCCTTTGTGCCTCTAAATTTATTTACGTTTATTTGTATAGAGTAAGCGTCTCAAATTCAATCAAAGCATGTATATGTTAGGGTGGAGATTCCCAGGGATTCTACTGGTAGAGATCCTGTTTAGAGTCTTTGTTGACAGAATCTCTGATAGGAATGTTGTTAATGTGTTAGGGTGGTTTCAAATTTGCAAATCTGTAATTTCAAGTCAATCCACTGATCTAAAGTGATGTGAATCAAAGCCACCGGCAGAGATCCCAATTTGTTGACAAAGACTCGATTGAGATCTCTACCAGAATCGACAATTCTACAATTGAGTCTCTAACAGTATCTAATTCATAATAATCAAAGTGCACAAAGTAAAGATCACACAGACACTGCAGACTTGCCACATATTTAATTGAAGAATTGGCACATGTGTTACAGTTTAAAATGGCTGGCTGGTGCAACAGTTTACTGAAAAATGTGCAAGTTTAAAGTTAGCCCCTTTGCATTGCTTAGTATAAGATCCTTGTATGTAAAAAATATGCAGCTTAAATTTATAAAATGCAGAAGCCACCAGCATGTTCAACCTTTAAATACCTTGTACAATTCAGAAGGTTGCCAGCAAATTAAAGCTAATTCTTTACTATTCTTCGTAGTCTTCACCAGACTAACAATGTGGGCTCAAAAACAGTCAAATTTAGCCAAACAGTGAGAATAATTAGCCAAGGGAGTTTAGCCACCATAGAGTTTATTTGCCCTTGCAAGGAGGAACCCTGCCTGGCTAGTCAGAACCTATTTTTGCCAAATCTATGCCTGGTGGAAGCTACTTTCTTGGCACTGAATCTACTAACTAAAGTATATATCACAGCAGCATCACCTAAACATGGCACTTGTGTATCACATCATTGCATTAACAAAATTGTTTAGCTCTTTTATAAAAAAAATAGGTGGTAAAATGGCCATCTGAAGGTTGATACCTTTTTTAGTGGGATCTGTGGGAATTTCATTTTTATCATCATTACATTATCAATTTTTTTAAAATTCCGGTGGGGGAAATGTCAATGTGACATCTTACCTCTTATTTAGTTTTTCCTGGTATCGCATTAGTACTACACTATATCAGTACATGTACCATAAAAACTTAGACATATAAAATCTCCAGCATGTATTTCTATATCTGTAAACCTGTTAATAAAGTTTGCTCAGACTAATATCATTCTGGATTACTTTATATTTTTTCTGCATAAAAATTATTAACACAATAGACTTACTACCAATTTGCATGACAAAAATACAAATCAATTAGGTGCAACAAAATTAGAATTCCAAGAGAAGTATTGTAAAAATTAAAACTCATAACTAGCTGTACAGATAATTTATAAAAGCTGTACATGCAACCAACAATCTCATAGAACTATCAGCTTATCACATTATTCTGTATCTATAGCAGCAAGTGAAAGCAAAAATATGAATTCATATCTAACTGTTAGTTAGATATTAATTAATCAAACATAAACACTAAATCTTTGCAACACATTAGATATTATTATAGGACATTTTTGTAGAAAACATGAGAAGCTATGGTATGCTTTCTGCCTAAATAAAGTCAGAGCTGAATACTAAATACCAAGTTGGTCAAGTTGTCAAACTGATGAGTTACTGCAATAAGCTGGTTCAAAATTTAAACTGTGCATGTGTGAGGTCAAACCTGAAAGCCCCTGTAACTTGTAAACAGTTGTTATAAACCATGCTTAATGCCATGTCCAGACATGTTTACCTTAAAAATGTTTGTAATATGTTTCTGGGGCCTTCAATTTTTACATATTCCCGGCAATGTATCATACTGCGCATGCACAGTTTAAACTGTGAACTGACTTATAAAGCATTTTTAAAAGGCACTTGAGGTACCCAACATCAGGCTATTCAACCTGGCATTGTTCTATCATACTTCACACATAACAATTGCATAAATGTTCACAGTATACCAACGTTCAGTAACCACACATGCAAACTAAGGACAATGTACATTATGTAGTGTCCAAAAACATTTTTTTGCAAATTTACCATATTTTCTAATTTGAGATCATCATCATTTTAAAGTTCTTGATCTCTTTTGCAGACATAAGTAGCAAACTCTTGAAGTGTTCTTGGCGGGATGGCGGGTTACTCGAGTGCCTGCTGAACTAACTGCAGCAACCAAACCTGAACCCAAACAGGAAAATCACATCGTGAACAAACTCTCTATAAGGCCTCCTTTCCACTAGACAGCAATTGCCAAGCGACCGCTCAGCAAGCAAAATTGGATCAGCGTGACCCTTTATTCTATCATAATTTGCAATATGATCTGTACTGAAAAAGTATGGTTCAAAAGACCCAAAAAGTATTCTAAAGTTGTTCTTTTTCTAGGAAATTTTAAGCGATCTACCAAATGTTTGGTTGCTTAGCGGTCACTCAGTGGCCACAGTCTCTTGTGGAAAAGGTGGTTAAGTCTTACTTACCATATTTTTGGATAAAAAATTACCTAGTACTGTATACTTACATACAATAGGTATCTTCATGCAGCATACATCTTTTGCAAACTGTAAGTTAGACATGCTTATACATTCACATTAAGATTTGAAAATTGTCACTTTCTATCCGGTATAGAAATAAAAGTGCAGGATATCAATTTAAAAGTCTATCAAAATGTTCTACATCATGGAAATACGCATGTGATCAATCTATTTGTGACCTTTTGAAATGCATAAATTTTCTTTTCAAAAAACAACAATACCGCACAACATAAATCAATAGCATGTGGTATTTAAGTTTAAGTGTCTACAGCACTTTGTAGAAATCTGTTGTTACTCACATAAAAGTAATTTAAAAAAGTGTAAGTTTTTGCTGACAACAAAAGCCTAGTGACTGTGTACTCAAAGACAAATCCAAATCATTATAGAATTGTTATGTGTTTTCGTAACACCACGTATGTGTAAGGATATATGATATATATATATCTATGAATTTATTACAACTATATGTGTATGGATTTGTTTGGTCTTGAATCTTATACTTTGTCTGACCCTGACCTCTTCCCCCATGACCTCATTAAAAAGTGGCCAGCAGGCTGATTTGCATACTTCATGAACAAAAACAAAGTCTCAAACTGGCAATCTCTCCTATTACATCCAGCGTGCAAAATACCTGGTTGCCCAGTTGCCCCGCGCAACTAAATTTTACTTGGGGCAACCTATTTTTGAAGCCAGGTAGCCCAGTGTGCTACCTGAATTTTAAGAATGCCCCCTCCCCCCAAATCATGCCCACTTGACTTGCACCACTGCATCCGGCAGATGCTTTTTTTAACTTTAGGTATTAATGGCTATTACTACATGTAGTAACAGTTAAGTTTAACTTACTAAAGGCTGTTAGAAGTATTGTCAAGTGCTTATGTATGTAACAGTACTTAATTTGAGGAAAGTAGTAACTTATAGATGGGGCAACCTAAAATTCTGATGGGCAAACTAATTTTTGCCGTACGTTGCCCACTGGTTCGAAAAATTATTTTGTACACTGTACATCACACACCACTGCACAACAACATCTCAGGCACTTTCCCGTCTGTCTCTACACTTTCAGACGCTTCCTCCGCTTTGTCTACCTCTTGGTCTTCATCTGTGCGCTCCTGAAGGTGGTTGCTCTTCTTTTCTGATTGGTCGGATGTCTCGTTGGGTTGGGTCGGAGTGGTTTCGGCAGAGGTCGGTGTGGTTTTGGTAGTAGAATCTGATGTGGTTTGGTGAGGGGCTGGTGTAGTTTCTGTGGTGTTTGGTGCTGGCTGGTCTTGGGTGACATCGTCGTCTGACTCTGATGCAGACGGGAGGGGGTCTTGGGTGGGCTGGTGGGAGGAATCCGTACTCGGAGGGGAAGCCTTACTCCTCGAGAAGAAGCTGAAGCTGTAACATAGGGAGATACTTGTATTACACTAGTGGATGTAGTGATACAAGTACTTAAACTGATATCGCTATATCACATGGAGGTATGTCACCATACGGTATTGTGCATAGAACTTCTGCAGAATGTATTATTTAAGGTTAGACTCTATTTTAATGCATATCTAAGGATGATTTTTTCCCGTCTGTAGTTTCCAAATGTTGTGTTTGAAAAGATACTGTCTGTAACTGTCAAGATTCTAATGCAATGTTGACCAAACATCCAACGAAAGCCATGAAAAATCTGGGTTCTATGCTTTCTCAGTGTGTTTTAGGGTCTACAAAAACTTTGAACAAGGTTATTACAGACAGTGCAGTGTAACAGATGATACGAAAGCCCAAAGGTACAAGCTGTGTCATCTGCAAACACCAGTGTTGTCTACACAAACAGTTCATCGTCTACGTAAACAGCGGTGTCATCTCGACATCAGCTGAATCATCTACACAAACAGATATACCGTGTACAAAAATAGCTGTGTCATCTACATAGGTGTGTGTTATGTAGATGACACAGCTTTCATACAATAGATGTGGTACTCACAGTTTTTTGATGCCAGACTCCTGTTGAGTCTGCTGTGGTGATGGCTCTGGTACATCAGGTACAGGAGTGTCTGTCTCTTCTTCACTGCAATGTGGGGAGGGCAGGGGTTAACATTACTGATACACAAAGTCTTTTAATAATAAAACACACAAACAAGCAAAGATAATCAATTTATGTTCTTGAGGGTGGTCTGTAGCACAACCTGTAGCTAAAATGGAAGGGATTTTTTTTAAATGGCTGAAAGACACAACATGCAACGATTACTAAGTATCAAAACTGTATACTTCCTGGCTAGTTCATAAAACACCAGAAATTCTAAAGTTTTGAAGCTGTAGTAAAATTGCAGTATGTCATAAACTGCTCAATGACCTTGAAGATGACTCAAAATAAATTTCTCTGTAGGAACTGAAAAAAGAGTTAGTGTCATTTAGTAGTTCTGTGGGTTTTAATATAAAAAATTGTGACTGGCTAATCCAACTTTTGTAAGGTGTCATCAGTTGAAATTTGATCTGAGGATATTCTGACATATTGATATACAAGTCACGTATAATAAATGTAAAAATGTTGACCAAATGCAACTTAGCTTTGACTAGTACCTGGACACAATTAGTATTTGACTCTCAAAAAAGAATTCTACCCTCAAAGCAAGCTGTTCAAACTTCTTGTATTCACTCCATTTCTGTTTAGCGATTTTGATGCATCTAATCTACACTCTCCAAGCACAGGATGGGGTTGGGGTTAATTTTAGCGTGCTTTTTATCTGGGTCTCTCTTTTGCACTGGAATTTCTTCACCCAACCCAACCTCTGCCGGCACTCACCCCGGGGCGGGGCAAATCTATTCAAGAAAGGTGACAGTGCTCCTCCCCGGGAACTATCAAATTGTTATTAGGGATATTCATTTTACTGTCATGGATTATCACACATCTAGCCAGTCAGAAAGGCATTCATTCGGCCACACGCCTCCTGCTGACTGTGCCTATTCATGCGTCTGGTTCACACCTCCTTGCAGAACGTTCGTAGTGTGTTGAAGAGATTAGGTTTATGGCACATTGAAACTTACGACTGCCGGCAGAGGTTGGGTTGGGTGAAAAAAAATTCCAGTGCAAAAGAGAAACCCCAATAAAAAAAGCCTAAAAACACGCTAAAAATAACCCCAAAACCAAACCTCTGCTTGGATAGTACCTAAGCTACAGTTAGTGCCTGAAAGTGACGATGACATTAACAAGAATGACCTTTCGGGGTCCCTCATGAGGGAAAAGTGGTCGGAGTCAAAGTACAAGCTTCCTTCGCTCGACCTGCACGACTCCCGGTCAGGATCTGAGTCCCTGTTATCTACGCTACTTTCCATAAAGGGGTCCTCGACGGGACTGACATTGGCGGGACGTAACAGTTTTTAACGAAAAGAGATTCAGGTTGGAAAGAGGAGGAACATCGGGAAAAAAAAACACAAAAGGAAGGAAAGACAAGAAATCTCAAGGTTATTACTGCAGTGCAAATTACCAGTGATTGCTGGTAAAGGCAACTTTATACAAGCATTTAAATTTTTATTTTTCTGCTGACGCAATCCAGGGATATACCGGTATATATATAATATTTCAGTGCAATGTCATGACAGAAGGCAAGCAAATGTACAGCAATACAAGCTTTAAGGTTCTGAACCTAGTTACATTGAGGGCTATTTTGGCAGCAGCAGAGCAATGTATATAATGTGTAATAAGCAAGTTCACGCTTTAAACTGTGCATGCACAAGGTCAAAGGTGAAGGTCACTAACTTGTAAACAGTTTTTGTCTAAACCATGCTAGGTATACGACCAGACATGTCTTGTTTACGTCTGGATCTGGGGCCTTCAACTTTGACATACATATATTACTAACAATGCATTACACTGCGCATGCACAATTTGAACTGTGAACCAGCTTATAGATGCAGTTTGTGCTAGCAACAGTGTGCATTACCCACACAGCTATGCAGTCTAGTACTTTTTATTTTGATTGCAGTTTTTCTGAAAAATGAAAGAACAGGCCCAAGTAGCAGCAAACGAAGAAGAGAAAAGGAAGAGAAGAAGTAATGACGAGGAAGAGATACTTGTAGGTCTGTGTCCAGACTGTATTTGTCTCCGGATAGACCTCTCCTGGGAGAGTCTGGGTGGATTTTGTCAGCTTGCTGAGAAAAACACAGCGAGGAAAAGACAACAGAAACATAGCAGAACACGTAATTTAAAGGAAAAACAATCACAGCAACAAGTAAAGCATTTGGTACAAATTTACATAGTACATGTTTTGTACTAAGGCCACACCAATTTAATTTGTTGGTTCTCGGATTTTTTCAGGAAAAATATACAGGGCGAAAAAAAATAAAAACAGACCTAGGCATCCTATTACAGCCCCAAATGCTACGATAGGAGGTATGAAGTCAACACACCAGGCTGGTTCAAAATTTAAACAATGAATTTCGAACTTCTAATGATACCACTGCATTGAAAGATGGAATAACTGTAACGACTAGGAAGAAAAGGACTGTTTTCAACTGTTCAGGGCAAAATATGAGCATTTTGCAGTTGATTCTGAAATTTTTTTTTTTTTTTTGCAAATCAGGAAAAATTGAAGAGGCGAATCCGAGAACCAACAAATTAAATTGGTGTGGCCTAACTGCAATCATTTAAGGAACACATACTTAGGATGAACTACAAGAACTGCTGCAATGTTTTTAAATCTACAAGATATCTGAAAGGCAAAGACAGCAAAGTAGGAACATGCATATGGCAGGAAATTGAAAATTGACAGGAAATGAGACAACCTTTTGTGGGACCATTGACCTAACTTCCTGTTGGTGTAACTGACGTGCCAGTAGCATTTGGAGATAATTACTGAAACACTTAGAGCAAACAGACACACTGAATTTAAAATATATAAAATTTATCCTCTCTACCCTGAGGTTTGTATGTTTGTTTGTTTGTTTGTTTGTTTGTTTGTTTGTTTGTTTGTTTATTTGTTGGGGTCCACTGTATGGTAAATTGTTAGACTAATGTATTCTTTGCAAATGTCTCTGGGTATTTACTTTTGTTGTATGTGAATATGTCCTTTGTTTGTTTGTTTGTTTAAGCCTTACTTCTTGTACTTGCTGAGTTCGTCCTCCACCTCCATGAGTCGTATCTTTAGCTCGTTCTTCTCCTGTAGTACTGAGCGCAGCTCCGTCATGGTGAACCTGGGACGGTCGGGGTCCGACAGGTCAATCACTAACTTCCCGTCCATGTGAGATGTGTCAGCAGGCTGGGTCATGTCTGACAACTCTTCCTGTGTATGCAAAAAGTTAAAGTAAGCAATCACTACATACCGGCGGTTTCTCTTTTTAGCAAATGCCCACGAATGCCCAGGATTGCACAAATATTAAATTTTTCGGCCATTATGAAATGTACACGCTGAGGCGGTGAAGTTGTCACAGCGCACAGTTTGCCAAAAAAGGGTAATTTAAAAGCTTGTAAAGCACGGAAACTCAAGGGAGTCCTATCCGAACATGTTTGTGGTGGTGGATTTTGCCAGCGTTGCGCGAGGGCCGATATTTTGCAAGGAGTAGTGGCCATTCCCTTCAAACCTGGAAGTAAAGTGGGTATTCGCTAAGAAGAGAAAAAAAGCAGTAAATTTCTATTTATTTAAGTTTGGCTCAAAACTTGGTATGAACATGCGGGAGCACACTCTGGACATGACCACACAAAAAAATTTAAGATTCGTGCAACAATTCCTGGGCATTCGCTAAAAAGAGAAACCCCATACCTGGGTCATGATTTTCGATACGGGTGTTCCATATGATAATTAGCCATATCACACAGATTCTACATTATCACACAGGCTTCCAAAAGTTCCATAGAAAACTTCATGTGCACTTTCCAACAGTCTCTAATATTTAAATACAGATAAAAACAAGGCTAGAGAATTTTAATATATATAATGGAAACTGCTTCACCTGCTTCCTTTCTTATGTAAGCTTGATGTATAAAATTTTGGATTAGTCAAAAAATTAAATATTTCGTCATAACATCTTACAAATGGACTGAAACATGCACAGTTAGACATCAATATATTATATATAATACGGCCATGCAGGCACCACTGAGGTAACCATGGTGACATATGCAGACAACACCCATGCAGAGCAAAAACTGAAATAAAAAAAAAACAAATACATGACATTGTATTGTAAAATGCATGAGGACATGCATCGGTTGAGAGTTACACAATCTAAAGACAGTCTAAATGCATTAAACATTTGCAGTGGAAAACCTCCTTTTCCCTCCTACTACAAAGTAAACCACCACAAAATTAAATGCATTAACAGTATGCCCTGGTTGTCCATCCTTGGGCAAAAGAAAACTGAACTGTTCTCCAGCTCCGAGAAATTTGACTCACCGGAATTTTCAACCAAATCTTTTGATCTTCATCAGCCTTCTCTCAACCAGGAAGGGGTGTGTTACCAACTTTGACCCAGTAATGTTACTGACATCACATGTGTGGAAAAATCATATGTCTACAGCATTTGGGTCAGATAGCTGATGTCACCCAGAGATTTGGTCGAAAATTTTAGTGATTCAACTTTCTTTGAGTTGGGGAACAGTTTAATTTCCACTATGTAATGTACTAACTCAGATGAACTTTCATGCCAGTGCAAGTAGAACAGTGCAAGTGCAAGCAGGTGGGGAGGGGGGCACACCAGAGACAAGCAGGACACCAACATTGGTCCTAATGGATAGAACAATGTGTGTATTAGTGAGGACAGGTACCATGATGTTATTACTGTTGCCTCCCATGCAGTATGGCAGCCTTTACACACTACCTTCCCACGGCTTCTGTCACTGTCTTCTGTTCGTAGGGCCTCAAGGCTGTCCATCATCTCCTGTTGGGGTGTCAATCACAGTTAACAGGCTGTCAGTCATAATTAAATCTGCACAATAGACCAATCCTGACCCTTCATCACAACGAGCAGTTCAACCAATGATAGCATGGTAAATTAAGCGATTTGACCAATGAGAGAGTGGCTTTTCTTCCATCACAATGAGCAGTTCAACCAATGATAGCATGGTAATTAGTAATTTGACCAATGAAAGAGTGGCTTTTCATTCATCCATCCATCCATCCATGTTTGTCAATCGATGAAGATGACATAATGTCAGGTCTGGTACGTCCAGAAGTGGCTGAAAACTCTGCCATAGCATTAGGTGCTAGAATAATAGCTAGAACTAGAGAAGTAACATTTGCAAAGCAAATGCATAATGTTTACCTTCACACATGGTCTGCTGTTAATTCTTACTCAAACACATTCACATACATGTACTACTAGTACATGGTGACAGCTAGCAGGAGCAGAGCAGACCGTGAAATTGCAACATTATGTAACCCAACACCAGTCACCATGGTGACAGACGTCAACAAATCATGTCATTGGTCAGGTCAGAGGTCACTGTTTGCAGAAGAAGAAGAAGAAGAAACAGAGCAAAAACAGAGTATACATAATAAGTTATCAAGCATGCTGAGAGACAATTCCAAAACAGCTTATAATCTGTTACAGTGATCCCAGTGCACAGGTTTGTACCTTGATAATCTGGTCCCCCAGGTCCCCCTTCAGGCCCAGTCTGTCCTTGAGTGCTGCTATCTCCTGTTCTTTGCCCTGCAGTGAAGCCTGGAGGTGAGCCTTCTCCTCCACCAGGGACTTGCCCTGCTGCTGGGTGATGGCCTGTTTCCTCCTCAGGTCGTGGTTCACCTTAGCCAGTCGCTCTACCTGGGACTGTAGCTGTGGAGAACCAGAAACCAGAGATGTCAGACGTCCGCGAAGCATTTTGACCTTCAACTCAAGTTCACAGGCCTACAGGTGGTGTTTTGAGCTTTCACTAGCAAGGTAACATTTGCAAAGCAAATGGATAATGTTTACCTTCACATATGGCCTGCTATGTTAATTCTTACTCAAATACATTCACATATATGGTCAGACAGGAGTATAAATCCCTCCTACTATAAAATTGCAACATTATATGTAACCCAACACCAGTTACCATGGTGAGAGACGTCAACAAAGCAGGTCATTGTCCAGGTCAGAGGTTAGTGTTTGGAGAAGAAGAAGAGGAAGAAACATAGCAAAAACAGTATCTTTTCCTTTGGTGAACATAATTAATGTACTGGAATAGTGGAGATGATCGTATGATGTACTTTAATCAAGTATTATACCACTTCCTTAATTCTTCCACATACTGCCCACTTACACATCAGGTCTCCTTCAGACTTGACCTTCCTATCAATCAATTGTCAAAATCACCTCCCACCCATCATGCAACTGAAGCAATTATTAATTAGGACAGAGACACTAACCCACAACTAACCCACTCAAAACAATACATTGTGTACATATTTCTCAGAAGTGCTAAAGGCTAAACATACTTTTCAGGCAGAGCTTAGTGTGCTAACGGTCAAACAGATGACTTACAGCCTCCAGCTCCAAGTTGCGTTGGTTAATCTCCATGTCCTTGGCCCTGAGGGTGTCCCTCTGTCTGTCCACTGTCTCCTTCAGACGAGCCATCACCTCAAAATCACTGTCAGAAATCTCTGTGGCAGATAAAACAGCTCGATAAAAGCAATCAAAGATTTCAGACTTCTGGAAAGTATGCGAATCCTCGGCTTCCTGAATTCCCCCATGTTGACCACAAATTCCTACTGGCTCCCAGTCAGATTCTGACACCTTTACATGGACCCCATTTCCTGTGTCTGACCATTTGACCTGTCATTCTACCTGTCAGTCTTCTCACCCATGTGCTGTCAACCTATTTTGTCCAAACAGACAAACCCACAAGTCCACCTTCCCACATGTTATGTGTGTATACATTTGTAAATTGTATATGTAATATATGTACTGTGTACCTTTAGCCTGGGCATGTTGTCCTTTAGTATATGAGGACAGAGCAGTGTTGAGTTGTTTGTTCTCCTCCCGTAGTCTGGAGATGGTCTGGAGAAGTTCTTTAGCTTCTTCTTTCCATGATTCATCCACCTGCTCAAGGTCCTACAGGTGAGAAAAGTGAGAGTGATCTTGAACCAGTTTGAGCTACTCTTCCACTGGTCGTGACAGAGAAGCTAAGACAGATGCCCTGTGTACAGTATTTACAGGATCATTGTACTGAGGAAATTCCTCTGGGCAGGAGTGGCTCTTTTTTCCCACAAGTACAAAATGAACAGTGGACCATGGCTTAACATCTCATCCTAGGGGGCCTGCATGCCCTTTTCCGTAGAGCGTAATGGGCCTTTTTAATTCTACATAGAGCGTTACACGGACCACTCTAATTCAACGTAGACTGTAATTGGCACATTTAGCGTGAAGCGTATTCGCCGTTTTAATTCTACGCAAAGAATTGTAGCCACTTGCAATTTATCATAAAACGTAATCAAGAGCGCTTTCCGAATTCAGCATAGAGCGTTGTCGCAGAGTCACTAACTTACTCATGTTATAAACTTTTGATTTCAGATGATTTGACAGTGTGTTGCCCAAAACCTCATTTGTATTGGTTCTTAACAAATCAATGACATTTGCCTGGTATTACACCAATCAGTATACTGTAAATTCATTTCTTTTTGCGGGGATTTGTTTTCGCAGTTTAAGTGAAAAGATTTTTTTCATAAATCAGTCAAGTTACTGTAAATCTTGAAATGATTGCAGTGGTTTTATTTTCCCCATTGTGAAATCTGTATCTGTATCTGTATAGCCGGTATAACCGCCTTTCGGCGTAACACACCAGCTTCGCAGGCACGCGGCGCGGCGGCAGCTGGCTATATTACACCGATCGACTTGTTACACCTAACCCTTGAACTTCTAGCTCTAGACATTGTTTAAAGCTATCTATTGACAGTGCCCCTACTGTGCTTGGTGACAGTGAGATCCACTCTGCGATAGTTCTAGGAAAGAATGAATTCTTGAACACCTCAATCCTTGGTTGATAACTCTGGTACTTGAATGCGTGGCTATTTCTTGTTCTCTTCTGAGCTGGTATTAGGTACTTAGTAGTTGGGACATCCACCAGTTTATTAGTCATTTTGTACATCATGCATAGTCTAGACAGTTTTCTTCTGTCTTCAAGTGAGGTCCACTGTAGGTTTCTTTTCATTTCCGTGACACTAGCACCTCTTACATGGTTGTTCATACAGAATCTTGCAGCTTGATTCTGTACCCTTTCCAATTTGTCTTTGTCTTTCTTTGTATATGGATCCCATACTGTCGCAGCGTATTCTAGGTTCGGTCTTACAAGTGACGTGTATGCAAGTGATCATGACACAGCAACATTGATGTTACGATTATTTCAAGATTTACGGTAAGAAGTGTTTTGACTGATGTCTTTAGGAAGATATACAGAAGGCTGACAAACTACATGTAGAAAAGCAGATGCGTCCGGCTTCCTTCCTCTTTCTAAATTCCTCTTCCTCAAGTTACTGTCACACCCATGATCTAAGACACTCTATCGCCTTCTTTAGACAGAATGCTAGCTACGTCAAAGGTGACCCACAACGTCTGAAACACGTCAGAATTTTCACACTGTTATCTGATCTGTACTTAACAGTGTCAAAGATCACTCATGAAAACGTCTAAAACCTAGCAAAATGCCACGCCCCCTGTCGGCGTTTGTGTATCATAACAACATGCATACCTTCTGGATACGGATGTTGTGTTCGCTTTTCTCCAGGTACATGGCCTGTAACCGCTGGACGTCCAGCCGGAGCTCCGACACCTCGTTGTGTTCCTTCTCATCCCTGTCCACCAACTTTTCCAGCTGCTCCAAAACTCGCACCACTTTTGGCATCAACTCAGTCACGGAGTCAGCCCCGAATGTGTCAATCAGTCTCTCGAATTCCTGGCCGATTTCTGCCGCCCATTTGTAAACATCGACGACTGTCAGCTCTAGAGGGATGGATGAATGTTCTTCTTCGGCCATTACACCACTGCTGACCTCTATAAATAACGATCATGGGTTCAGAGCGCCGTAAAGTTACTATTTTGAGAATGAGAAGTTGGTCTAGCGGTTCGCGCTCTCGTTTGACCCCAAGTAACCTCTTACAGGCCAAAGGTCACAATCTCACGACTTTCTCTTCAAATTTGCCCCCATTGTAAAGTTTTAGGCCTTTTAAGCTTTATTTTTTATAAAAGAAGAGAAATATGTACACAAATTGTGTAATAGATATGTGATATTAATGAAAAGAATGTGTGATTATTTTATTTATCATTATCTCCCATCATCCACTGCGGTTCCAACCGGGAAGGCGTACGTGGCAAGAGAAGTTGTCTCGATTTTCTCAACATTTCGGTGACAAAACCGCCTCAAAATGACGACCGTGAGGAATCTCTGGCTCTTGGCCGTTCTGGCGGCTTGTTTAGACTCCATCAGCGCGTATTTCGTCAGCGTGGACGCGCACGCAGAGGAGTGTTTCTTCGACAAAGTGACGTCAGGAACCAAGATGGGACTGATGTTCGAGGTGGCTGAGGGAGGGTTTTTAGACATCGATGTCAAGGTATAAAAACACCTAGTTCTTATATCAATGCACGGTTTATACCAGTATCTGTTGCAGTACAAGCTCAAAAATATCAAACTCTAGTCTCTAGAGCAATCAGTGTCTTTGAAGTGTGACTGACAAGAAAGAAATACGTATTTGATTACATATGGTGGCACACACAGGTGGACACATGTTACATGTTGTGTCGTGCAGACAAGTGTATGTATGTAAATTCTTTTGTTACATGTGCACAGTCACTAGTACATTTGTACCTTGATTTCGCCTGTTCGTATCTCTAGCTAGTTTATCTAGTTTGCATGAAAACTGGAGACGAGAGCCTGAGACTAGTCTGCTATTAGCAAAATTTGTCATACTGGTATAACTATAATATAAAAAATTATTTGAGCTGACCAAAAAAAATGCATAACTTTCTTATTCTTATAAGTCTGAATACAGAGGAACATGTAAGGTCTAGACTTACATTTAATGTTAAATGCTGCCATGTCATATCGCAGAATTTTTATTAGGTAAATTTGTTTTGAGTCCTCAACTCCTCAAAGAAGCAAACAGTGCATGTGAAAGCATGTAGTAACTCCCAGCTGTTACCACTTGGTCAAGTGTTTAGCTGCTGCCACATGGCCAGTTCTGTATGTCTGTGCATTTATTTCAAGTGCTTCAGTTCCACATTTTAGGCATGTTGGGGACACTGACAAAAATTTAAGCCAGAGGTCCCAAAAAAGGTTATCTCATTTCCTGTATGCAGTCATCTTGCTATATCATATGCATGTCTTGTTGGCTAGTTGTTGCCTTATGGGAGCCAGTGAGAAAAATGCATACACAGAAACAATCAGCAATGAATAAAACAAAAAATTGATGCACAAAAATAAGTAAAAAAATAACAAAATAAAAAATTAATCAAAATTAAAATTAAAATTTGATAATATTAAAAAAATAATAATAAAGGTGGGAAATTACGTCTTCCGTGGTCTAAAAAAGAGAAGTCAAACCCCTTAAACATAGTTTTAGACATATTTTAGTAGCTATAGCTCTAGACAACTACCTTTTATCATGTAGATTTTAGTTATTTTATACTACGTTTCATTGTTCTTTTATGTTTGTAATCTGCAATTAGCCCCCCGGGCATGAATTTGCTATAAACTTCTTATTCACAAAAATAATATATCACATAGGTATGAAATCTTCAATATTTTGTTTTTAACACACCAGATCACGGGCCCAGATAGCACAGTGATCTACAGTGGTGAGAGGGAGTCCAACGGAAAGTACACGTTTGCTGCCCACATGGACGGAGTCTACAAGTACTGTTTTAGCAACAAGATGTCCACGATGACACCCAAGATTGTCATGTTCTCCATGGACATCGGAGAAGCCCCCAAGGGTCAAGACATGGAAACAGAAGGTAAGCCCCACATACAATGTATTGTCTTCTTAGAACATCTATAAGCTTTAAAATCTATGTGGAAGTTATTCTTTAACCTCTTCCTGCTGCCTTACCCCATAACTAATAGAAATTTGGTGCCACATGGCTACCTTAGCATACTTAAAAGCTGTACTTGCGCCACACATACACAAGTGCTTGATGATTTCAAAACCCACACTGCAGTTGCTTCTCGTATTTTTGAATTTCCTACATTTTCATAGCCAGATCTTCTATACCTCAGCCTTACCTTGTTGTTCTATTGTGTTTTATTTTGTTTGTTTTTGTTTGTTTTCCTTCTGTGTCCGTGTGTCTATGCCACCCTCATCAGGTGATAATGACTGGGCAGGTACAGGAGTTCCTTTCCATTTTACCTGGTGGTGTTTTTCTCATAGGTTTGGCTATCCTATGCCTGCTACATTGTATAGATAAAGAAACCAGGAGTGCCAAAGTATAAAGTGCAATTTTACGGAATACGGTACAGTTTTACGGAATAAAGTGCAATTTTACTAGTATACAGTGCAATTTTACAGAATACAGTGCAATCGTATTAGTATACAGTGCAATTTTACTAGTATACAGTGCAATTTTACTGGTAAAATTTACTGGTAAAATTGCTGTGTATATTAATACGATTGCACTGTATTCCGTAAAATTGCATAGTATACTAATATGACTGCACTGTATTCTGTACAATTGTACTGTATACTAATACGATTGTACTGTATTCTGTAAAATTGCACTGTATTCCGTAAAATTGCACTGTATTCTCTGGCACCCCTGGAAACGTGATGCTTTTGGGTGCCGCCATATTATAAATTGCCCATGTCTTGCCTTGGTGTCATTGCTTTTTGCCATGAAAGCATTTATGATTCATATTACTTGCATATTTCATTAACAACATTCTTGTCTTATGGAATGTTTCTGTCCTGTGGTGCTTGCTGCAAAGGTGGTCTGGATAGCTACTTGCATTTTGAGGCTGTACATTTCATTTGATTAGAGACACCTATCATGTTGTACTGGTATTTCAGGCATGCTAAAGGTCATGTGTATCACATCAGGATGATCTTTTGTAGCTATAAACATTTTCTTGTAACTTCTTTCCTTTTTTTGATAGCTCATCAAAACAAGCTGGAAGAGATGATCAATGAGTTAGCAGTGGCCTTGACTGGAGTGAAGCATGAGCAGGAATACATGGAGGTCAGGGAGAGGATTCACCGAGCCAGTGAGTACCATTTAGAACTACCAACTTGACCTTAATGTCCATCTGTGGTCACCAAATCTTCCAAGAACTCACTGTTGAACCCTGCATTCAGTGTAGTAATATCAATACATTTGTCATAGTGTTAAATGTGTTTGGTGCCACTACGTTGAATTTTCATACAAGAAAACAGAGACTTCAAACCTCTGGGAAGTATGAAAAGTTTTGTGAATTTTTTGCCTCAAACAAAAAGATGGTCTGGCTTACATGTACAGCACTTTCAATGGGCCTAGGACCTTGCAGGCTGTGAGCTTGTTGTGAGAAGCCCCAATTGGGTACATGGAGCCATCACTTTCTCCCAGCCTGTAGGGAGACCATTTAGACTTCCAACTTGACCTTCAGGTCAATCTGTGGTAACCACCCTTCCTGCCACTCTACCGTAAGCAAGCACAGAGACACACACCCAAAACAATACCTCCATTCCCGTAAGTAAAAATGTACATATATTACAGGACTAACCAAATGTGTCCTTTGTGTTCCAGTCAATGACAACACCAACTCCCGCGTGGTGCTGTGGTCGTTCTTCGAGGCCCTGGTACTCGTGGCCATGACGCTAGGACAGATCTATTACCTCAAACGATTCTTCGAAGTCAGACGAGTCGTATAAGAGAGCGCCGAGAGAATAGGTCCAAATTTTTATGCTGTAAATTTTGATTGAAAGTACTACACAATGTAATCAACTATAACAAGCTGTTAGTTGAATGTTAGTTGGATTCTGTATCAAATTTGGGTACAGAATAGTGCAGCTATTTGGTCAAACTGAGATATGGAAGATGCTGCTTAAGTTAGAAAAGATGAAATTCATGCACTTTATAAGAATGAGAATCTAAGAGACTTAAGTTTCTTGCAGAAGTAGGAATATACTTTTCACTTTTTTGAAAGTTTGTAGTTACTTGAGGGAGCACAGGGCCATACAGGAAGAAGACATGTTTATTGATATAGGTTTGCATCAGTTTTGTTGCAAATCAAAGGAAAGTAGTAAAGTGCACTGTGTGCAAGTCATCTCAATGAGGCCAATTGTTGGGGACAGTAAACTATGTGCTAAGGCCACACCAATTTAATTTCTTGGTTAACGGATTCGCCCGCTTCATTTTTATCTGATCTGCAAAAAAAAAATTCAGAATCAACTGCAAAATGCTCATATTTTGCCTTGAACAGTTGAAAACAGTCCTTTTCATCCTAGTTATTACAGTTATTCCATCTTTCAATGCAGTGGTATCATTAAAAGTTCAAAATTCATTGTTTGAATTTTGAACCAGCCTGGTGTGTTGACTTCAAGGCTCCTATTGTACCATTTTGGGCCATAATAGAATGCCTAGGTCTGTTTTAATTTTTTTTTTCGCCCACTCCATTAGTTTTCTAGAAAAATCCGTTAACCAAGAAATTAAATTGGTGTGGCCTATAAGTTGAAGACAACTGTGTCCAGCTACAATCAGTTCCTGTGAGAGAAGTTTATCAACCTTTAGCACACTGAGGTAGCCCTTTGCTACCAATTCTTTGGTGACCATCAGGGTTAGGCAGCAGGAGAAGGTCAAAGTAGCAACTGTGACAAGAAAGTCAAGTTAAAAAATTACTTGGTCCAAAGATTATTAGATATTTATTTATTCTTCTTTTTAGTGAAAAGAAGTTGAAAAAAAAATGTGTAGCAAATTGAAAGGTGAAAAAAAAGCACTTTTTTGAACTGACAAGTGCCTTGCTTTGCTACCATTGGTCATGTTGCAAGACCTGACTATCTTTTTTGTTTTTTTTCTGGCAAAGTCATTGAAGAGTAAGTGTAAAGATGTCTGATGAATTCCTCTTATGCAGCAGTATATATAAAAGATTTGGTGAAGATGTTCTTAATTTGCTAAGAATGACCAGAGCAAACCATATCACTGTGGAGGCATATTTGGCCACAAAAATGGTCTGACAGCCACATTTGTTACAGATTGGAAGAGCCCTGCTGCCATTGGTCAATTTACTCTACCCCAAAAACCGCACAGTAAATTCACCAATGGCAGCACGGCTCTTCCAAACCCTATTAGAGTCAGACCAATGGCAGCATAGCTCTTCCTAACCGAATTATGGTTAAACCAATGGCAGTGCGCCTCTTCCTAACCTTACTAGGGTTAGACCAACAATGATCATGGGCATGGTTGTGTGACCATTTTGGGGGCCACTGTGCTTTGTGTATAGCAGGTTTCTGGCCATATATACAATACTAGTACTGTGATGTAGTGTGAATTGTGTAAGGGTGACATATCTTTGGAGAGTAGTTCACTTTGGAGTTTATAAAAGTTTAGATTGTGCCATATCTTGTATGTGTGGAAAACACTGGTCAGTTTAAATCTAGAAAGAGGTTGGCAGTTAAACATCTCAATATTTTTTTTTGCTTGTTATGAAATGTAAACCCTCAGTCTATCCAAAATTGGAAGATAATATTTTCTTTCTTCTTGTCCAACAATGAAGTTAGAAAATGTGACTCTAGATTGAAAGTGACCAGTGTTGTAGACATATGTTGTGGTGGTGGCAATTTCTTGAGGTACCTGGTATATAGTGATTACATTGGCAATAAAATTTTAGAACTTACTTTGATGAGTTTTGTTCAATAAGTCTTTTTGTCTTGTTCATTAAAATGACAAATTTGATTAATATCCACATATTATGGCTTGACATAACTCAAATTTGATCTGATCATTTTCACTGTTGATTAAAAGTATATCGACTGACAGATTCCATAGCCCCGCCCCTCCATTGAAACCTAGCAAAATGTAACTTTTTTGACAGACATGCATCCGCTCTCTCATTGGTCAAACCACTAATTACTATGCTATCATTGGCTGAACTTATAATTGTGTTAGATGGGATGGGTGTATTGGAATTACTGAAAACAAGGAGACAATATGCTCAACCCTGATACTTCATAATCTTTATTTCCAAGATCACCGAAATGTTACGAGAGGCATTGCCCAATGTAAACTTCAAAGGGTGGGAGGTCAGGATGCTTTCATAATGCATATTATGAAATTTTGAAAAGTGGCCCAATACTTACACGTGATAACATACTAGTAGTCAATGACACATGCTTGGGCCTAACTTATGATTAATAAGTACACCCATGTATATGTATTTTTGTTCTGCCAACGGTCGCTTGTACACCCCACCCTTGGATTTAATCATAAGCTAGTATATCAACAGTTTCATGACTATAGGGGCTGGGCATGGCTTGATCCAAAGAATTTTTACTGTCACCCCTATGCTGTCTTTCAACCAGTTTTGGGAGGGAGAACCTTCATAAATCTTGCAAAAAAAAATGAAAATATAACTTTCGAATGAAGCTATAGCAAAGGGAAAACCTTAACTTCACAAACTCTGTTCCTCATTTAACAAGAAATAGTGTCTGAGGGGGTTATGAGTTTCAAAATATTTGCGCGATTTGCGCCACGAAAGTTGCTCTTCTGTACCTGACCCCTATGCTATGAAAAAATCCTGATGAGAACCCTGCTGTGTGACAGGGACTTTAGATAGCAATGTGCCTCTGTGCTAGCCTCTACCAGGCTTGAGGAGGCGGCAGCCTCACTGTTCTCTCAACGGCCAAACCCCGTTGGCATGCTTATCTCTCTATTTTGGCCGATTTCCACTCTTTCCAGCCGCCTCCTCAAGCCTGGTAGAGGCTACCTCTGTGCGCTCTTTCTCTGGTCATCGTAAAAAGCAGGAATCTGGTGGTAAAGGGGGGAAGCAGGGGGGTGAGGGTTGCATATATGTGTCTGACCACATGGTGGCGCTTTTTCGTCCCAATGCGAGTCTGCCGGCACGGTCTTCGCAGTCCTCTCTGGGAGTCGTCATAAATGATGGTAGGAAAGTACTGCCGAAATGGGCTTGTATATAAGTCCTATCGAAAAGCTATGGTGTAGACCACTAGGATCGGGAAGAACCTTGGAGAGTTAGGAATATTTTAGTGAGAAGGAAGCACGAATTGTTCAGCAGACAGACACAAAAATTCTACTTCTCGGTTTAACTTCCTTCGATCCGTTGTGGTCCCAGTCGGGCATGATTCAAACGGTACAGAAAAGTCGGTACGTAGTCTCTGAAGTTTCGTTCAGAGTTCAGGTAAGAAAAATGTTGATATCCGTGTGGTAGAATTATTAAGGTCCCGGCCACACCCGTCGTACGATTGTCGCACAATCGCAAACCAAGGACTTGGTAACAGGCGTCCATGTGACGTGTAGAAGATTCAGCTGTCTTGTCATGAAAAAAAGGCTGTCTTGGATCTTTGTCAATGGTTAGTTCTGTCGCAGCCTACTTGAAAATATATTGTACGACATCTAAAATCGTACGAAGGCCTTCGACGAATGTGTCGGGACCAGTGTCGGGAATCGTGGGCCGGTGTAAATGTCTACCTTGTCCGTCTTGGCCCTACGACCCCTGGCGCCTCAGAAAAGGAACTGCATGCTCTCCCAGTTTCAGAACACCATCTGTCTTTATGTCTGAGAGAAATGTGTGCTACGAAACCGTGTAGAGGCGACACAATCATTAAGAGTCGTCGTTGATGACGCTTTCGTAAGACGGAGGCGGCGGTAAATTGTTCTCCTCACCCGGCGATCCCGACGACACCGGCCGCGGACTGTCCCGCGCCGCCCCGTCCCTTTCCCGCCGGACCACGTAGTCGCCGAATCTTTGGTTACTCTCCTGACAGGACGCTGCCACGGCGCCGTACCTCGGCGGGCTGTCTTGGTAGATAATCTGGCGATCCACGTGCGGACTACTAGGGTATCTGGGACTGGAAACGGCCGCAGCCTGGTCGCCGGAGTCTCGGCGTTCTATGTACGGCTGGGACAGACTGTCAGTTCGGCGGGAGTAGGGGCTGTGTCGCGGGCTGCCGTTGACGGGAGAGGCGTGGAACTGCGTGTGACGGAAGGGGCTCCCAGGCCGGCCCCCTCTGTGAGGACTGTGCTGCGGGCTGTCGTGGTACGAGTCCGTCCTTCTGGCCAGGTAGGGACTGCCGTGGTAGGGCGGGGTGTGGAGAAGGCTGTTCCGGCTCCCCTGGTAGGATCCGTGGTAAGGGCTGAGAAAAAAAATCACAGCGTTAACGTTACATGTATGATACATTGATACTTAAGAGAATTTTCAACATTTTCAGCACCAAGGACATCACCCCGCCCCGGCGGCGGTTGGACGGTTAGGCGGGCAGGGGTGTCTCGCCTGGCCGCCCGGAGTCACTTACTTGCTCCGATGTCCTCTACGGAAAGAGAGGGAGGACGTGTTTTGACATTGTTACCTCCGGGATGGAAGTATTGTTTTAGGGTGACTAGATAATGGGTTTTGTGTCTGTGGGTCTTTGGTCGCATGTTGTCAGGAATGTGATTTTGACAGGAGATTGACAGGAAGGTCAAGCCTGAAGGTGACCCAGCACGCGCCCGGTAAATGGGTGGTATATGGAGGAATTCAGAAACTGTTTGATAATGTACTACCTGATTAAATTACACCATACAATCCCCTCCACAATTGCAATACATTCACCAGCACCCAAAACACCAACGAAGGTATGTTAGCTTGAAAGTCGCAAAAAACTAAAATACTGAATTTGAAAAAAAAAAAACTAAAATACTTCCCGGAAGTCTGAAATCGCCAATTGTTTATTTGACTTAGAATTTTGTTTTGATTTGTTGTTAAGTAAGTTCATGTGGCTTGATGAGTATAAATCTACAGGTTCACTGATATCGCCATAAATGATACTTGCCTGTAAGGTGCCATAATTTCCTCTCCTACTGTCTCTATCACCGTGGTAGAGTGAACGGTCGCTCCGTCCATGGTGTATCGAACGTCCCCGGCGCCGGAGCGGGTGTGATACGGGCCGTATCTGCCCAGCCGGTCTGCACTGACGCCGTGGGTAGGCGGCACGCGATACGCCACGACCGAGGGGGCCTCGTGTCTGCGTCTCCGCCTGCGACACCTATCGCTGCAGTACAGCCACGACCCGAAGCACAGCACCGGTAACCCGATCACCAGCAGCAGACTGCCGATGATCCCTCTCAGAAACTCCTCGTCCTTGTCGTGGTTGATGGGGAACGAGATGGCCATGAGGATCATTCCCGTGACCAGGATAGCGCCCCCTAGCGTGGTGATGTAGCCACCGCACATGACGGCGCTGCAGTTCTTGCAGCTCTCGTTGACGGGGTCTATCATCACCGGGTCCTGGGTAGCCATGGTGTGGAATTCTCTCTCCATCTCCCCTCTACACCTACAGAGAAACAAGACTGGCAATGACAAAATTCCTGTACAATTCCTAGAATTCTTGCAAACTGCACACAATACTGTACCATTAGGCTCCCCCCGGAGACGTCGCCAAAAACAAGAAATCTGAGATTCCAAGCCTCCGGGAAGTTCACAACAACTGCTAACAATTTCAGACATAACATTAACAGCATTGTCACCAGTAATGCAAAAAAAATATTGGAAAACGATACCAATGTCGTAGAATGTCAGAATCAAACGAAAAAAAACGAAAATGTAAAGAAATAAATTTGAAGAGTAGATTATTCGCCATACCATACTCTGTGTCATTTGTTCAACCTTCATGACCACGTAGATTTCCTAATGAAAGCAACTTTTTTTTTTGCCAAGCTCTTTTTTATTCGCACGCTCGCATCAATTTTGGGGTTCCCAGAGGATGTCATCCATGTAATCCAATCAACATGGCCTAACGGTGAATTAAAATGCTTGCTACGCCTCACGGAAAAAGGCATGAAGACCCTCTCAGTACCTGGTGGTCATAAAATACTGGCTGGCAGTTATCTTCGAAAACGATAGCTCTTGGATAGACTGACACTGCGACCTTCAAGGAGAGCGAAAAGTGACACTAGCGGCGAGGGACTGTCATTATATCTCTCTGATTTGATCGGCAAAACAACCTTGTGCTGGTACTTCAATTTAGATGCCTCTCGAAGCGATGCGCCAAAACATGAGATGTTGATGACCCTAGCTAAGTGATGCTCGCGGTTCGAGGGAGTGACAGGGATTCCAAGTAATGTACCATCTTTCAAAGCGGCATTTTCCTGGCAAGGGTATGATCATCTTCGGCGCTTAAGTGCAATTTTGCGACGAGTGCCATTGGGGAGATGGGGAGGCCTATACCCTAACATGTTATTACATGTATCCCTAGGGTCGACGATATTCAGAGGGATATCTATAGCCATTTCCTGCTAAACGTAGCGTAGAGAAAGGTTTCCAAGAAATTTGTAAGCTTGCGATAATTTGGTTTCAAATCACGTGAACTTCACGTGATTGGATGATGATGACCTCGTGAAGGGAGTTCCCCACACAGATCTAGCAAGAGCTTAAAATGTTGTGTAAATGATACGCGGAGGAACGTAGCCGCTTTTTAAAACAATATCGCCATCTACATTTGGCCCCGCGCCGCATGGGTTGAGTCTAGTGGTTTCAGCGATGTATTTTCGACTTCTGCAGGAAAAAAATGACTGTGCGGCTGCAACCAGGGAGATTACCTCGTTTGAACTGGAAACCGTTGATGAATGGGTGTAGGCATGTTTTCTGGTGAAACTGGGATAGAATTTGGGTCACTGAACGTTAACAGGATGAAAACCGGTTTTCGACCCGGTTTTAGAGTCAGACTAAGCTTGAAGAGATCTTTCAGAGAGAGACTCAGGACATGTAACCATGTGCATATATGCTTTAGATCTAAAAAGAAATCAAAGAAAGCAACCTATCAGCAACTTAATCTTTACGCACACTCGTATGCGTCAAAAGAATGCGTAAAGCAGAAATAAAGTTTAAGAACAATCCAAGGGTCTTTCGATAACTATAAGCGACGCATTTAAGCTGAAAGGCAACTGAAAAACCGGAAAGTAAGGACCTACAAATGTATTTGCACATACACAGAGACCAGGTAATTGAGTACGGACTCGTATAAGAGGTGTATGGATGCGTAAAGAAGGAAACGACGTCGACTTTAAGCATGATTTATGCTTGAATCCCTTTTTTTTGGCGGGGTTAGTTCTGACTCTGATTATTTCTCTAAACGCAGGGAACCCAGTTTGGATAGCCTCCACCAGGCCTTTCTACGGGAATACGGATCGTAGAATTCGGCAAAAAAGAGAATAAAATGGGCCAAGGGAGTCCGGCCGCGGGGAGGTAGTTTCTTTCCCTGCGCGGCCCAGTCAAACCTACAAGGCGGCCAAACTCCCCTGGCAAATATTCTCCTATATATATAGCCAGCGTAGTTAGTCTGGTAGAGATACTAGACTAAGTTTGGATGGGGACGCAATAAACCGGCAGGTAGTTCCCTCGAGAACAGATCTAACACAGACGGTTGCCCAGAAAGCCACCCCGAGACTGAATGAAGTAGATCAGTCCTATATATGCAATTGACGGCTTATATACAATCAATAAACAGAGGCTGTTACGTGGTATAGACATATATATTTGCACACTTTCTAAACGACCATGCTAAGTGTCAAACAAAATAGCCCCTGTGCTATACAGGCCATCGAGAGAAATGACTTTTTGACATTGCAGCATTTTAGATATTACTGCTCGGGGTTGAGATTGTAGTGGGTCAAAATGACATGAGCGATATTTCATCTCGGTGTTTTGCGGTAGTATGAAAATGAACCACGGACCTTAGTCTGACTCTATACCCCTTTTGGCAACTTGAAAACACTGATTGGTTTTATTACTGACTTGGATGATCTTTCAGATGATATTCTGGTACATTTATTTTTGATAGGTTCTTTTCTGTCAACAACGTACAATACCCAAATACTGTTGCATGTGCAGACTTTTTGGAATCAAATCGTTTTTGTAGTGTCTTGATCGATAATGTATGTGTTTCACTAGTTTATTGATTGATTGTTGTATTCAACTTCTGTATGAAAATTTGGGCTTTGTTTTACGTATTGTCTGGTGGCGACATGAATATAAGTGTAACTTGAGTGTGTCGCCACCACGTCTTGTCACTGTATGTTTCAATAAAAAAAACATGGACAAATACATTCGTGTTTAGTTTTATTGCCAACCACTTTCAAACAAAGCCTTTGGAATGGTAACAAGCTTCGAGTTCGTATACAGCTATATCATGAGTGACCGTCTGCCAGAAATGCATGTAACATTCAAGTGGAGATGCCAAAATATGACACCTTACGCCTTACGAGTATCAGTCATGTTTGTTTACATTCTGATATCTTGTGATGGTGACACAAACTGAGTGCACTTCGTGTGGGCTGTTTTAGGGCCAACTATAAACGTTAGAAATGTGAGATCATTGCACACATATGTTGAAAAGTGGAAGTAAATTACAATCACACAAAAATTGTTTTTGTAATTTAAATACTGCATTTTTTTGGTGCAAAAATTTTTAGTTTAAATGAGCACGCTTAGCATAGTTCCTATCTAGCCTCCTCTCTCCTCCTAGGCTCTGTTTTTATTGAGTACAATTCAAGGGATGGTGTTTCAGTACCTCGGATGTCACCTCTGTTATACGAAGGTGACCGGAACTTGGCCACACCCTCTTCTAACACGGCCACGCCCACCAGTTATGCCCAGCGGCCATGACAGTAGCATCACGTGACATTCGAATTCGTGAGTAATGCATACAGAAAACTGGTAGATACTGCTTTAGGCCACAGCAAGTAATTTTTATCAATGACATCACTGCGCGCATTGATTTTCGCCTGATTTTGGGAAAAAACTAGAAATTTTATTGCCCTCTGACAGTGGTCAACATGCCGAAAATGGTAAAAATGGCATACCTTGCCATGTTGGAACGTGTATGGCAGATAAACATGAAGAGGAGACAAGACAAGGCTCTGATTTATTGTCTTGACTTTTAATTTGATGCGGTGATATATTTCATTCCTTCATTTTTTTTCCCACTGAATCAAACCCATTTGTACATTGATTGAAAACTTTCCTTTTGCACAGTTGTTTCAGTGACAAATGGATGTTGTGATAGTTGGCAGTTAAGTTAGCATAATATAGGTATCATTACTTGTTTAACGTTTAACACGGTTTATGATCTTGTTTTTTTTGCCCGCCTTGTTTTTTTACGCCCTCTCGCCTTAGATTTGGAGTCTGCGGCGGATGTCATCCATCAAATTTACTTACTGTGGCCTAACTAGATACATGCACGCCTTTCGGTGTTTTCTAAAAAGGGAAAAGTAGAAATATCCACTCCATCGCTCTCCCTGTATTATGGACATCCCTTCCATTCAACGCACAGCGTTAATAGGAATATGTAGCATGGGTCTAAGGGGTAATATGCAACATGTTTGCATCAAAAATTGAAAACAATCTTCCCATGTGGCTATACTTTACTTCCACTATCAACACTTCACATTTCTGATATTTATGGTTGGTGACAAAACAGACCACCACAAACTAGCAGAATGTAAACAAACATATAACTCACAGCTTATAAAAACACTCATAAGGTGTTATACTTTGGCACATCCACTTCCTGAATGACACTTATTTGCAATGGTGTAGGGTTCATTCAAATTACTTTCTATGTAAAAAAAATACCTTAAAAATCGACTTTTTGTACCGTCCTAATGTTACACGATGCAGCTTTAAAAAAGGGGATAAGTGAAAATATCCACTTGGAAGCTCTCCCAGCATTATGGACGCTTGAAGTCTTCATTTTATAAGCCTTTCCATTTAAGTCTCAACATTAATAGGAGTGTGTAGCGTGGTTTGATAGCTTCTTGCTCGTAAAATCAAGTCATTGACCTTGAAACGTAAGTGTGATGGATTTGAATTGATTGAGAAGAAATGGCATATGCGTAGAATTAGAGTAGTGTTTTACACTATATCCGAGACGTTATATTGGCTGTAGCTATTTGATTTGATTGAGTTTACACTGTATAAAAACCGAAGGCTATTACAAAAGGACCAGCCCTGGCGACTGAACATTACACAATGCATATAGTATGCAAGAACTATCATGAATAGCAGGACGAGACTTAGAGTTAGTATATATACAGAGAGAATTCCTATATACGTAGATAGAATTTTAGGACGCTCTGGTCTTTACTTTAGCGCCCATGTGATGCTTTTTGTAATGTTTTTGTTCGTGTGTCTGTATATGTATTGTAATGTTAAAAGTTAGATTTGCCAGACATTTAACTGTAAAAAAATCAGTGTTATTCAGCATGTTTTTGTACAGGCTGCGAGGCTGGTTTTTATGAAATAAACTGTTGAAACTGTTGATT